TGAACTTAGCAGACATGTATAGACAAGCTAAAGTGTGTAATGTACCACTAGCACAACAGTAAAACCCTCTGTCAGTAACTCTAATGGCTCTTTAACCCACACTCTACTCTCCTCTGTCAGCACTTTGGAGCCTGCGTGTGTCCAGCACCTGAGCCGTGAGATTAGCCACGAGGATCATGTTGAGCTGTTATCCAGGTGAAGGTATTACAACGAGACAGGTGAGTGAAGCTGAACGGGTGAGACAAAGGAAAGGCAAAGGGGCCAGTAGTGAGAAATAAGGTGACAGTAAAAAAAAAAAGGATGTCATGGTTGTGTATTCTGAACTTGAGGGAAAGTTTCATTTAAAATACAAGGGTCGTCTTCGTTCTGCTGAGCTCGTCCCTGAGAAGTATCAAGCATGAAGTCACTCAGAATAACTAAATCTTATAATATTAAATCTACAATTTTGTGGGTATATCTTCAGCTTGAATCCAGTTCATGTTTTGAAAATGTACTTGAATCATTCTGGGTTCAGGAGTAAAGGGGACACAGCAGTTATCTTAAGCTCACATTTACCCTTCTATACATTTTGGTGTTTCTAAGTATATAGTTGAAATACTAGGTACTTTCATTGCATGCATTACAGAAAAGCGAGTCAACAGTCACACACTATTGACCTGCTAAAAGTTCCTCTGACACTCCCACACTTGTCTCCTTTTTCATATCTGTCATTTTCATTTCAATATGTTTATGCAGCCTTGGTAAAAAATACCACAGGTTAGAGTCTCCGGTGCTTTTTACAGATACACACAAAGTCTCATTCAAGCATCATTTACACAATGTAAAGCTCCTGTGAGGAGTTCTTATCTGGTTCTGAAACAGAATACAAAATAGGACTAGTGCCTCTTTAAGACCAACGAAAGAAAACAAGACCATCAGAGACATGATTGATTATTTCTGAATAATTATTTTATACGCCTCTCACGCCTGCCGCAGGGTAGGCGTCATGCCAGAGAAACTGCCTTTATTTAAATTATATTTAGCTTTCCCAATTATTGGGAGCTGCATGTTAGAAATGTAAAATAAAGAAGGACAAGCTTTTAGTTATAAAACAACTTAAACATGTACAGGAGGAAACCTTCAATCCTACCATTATATTCTGTTCTGCTAACCATGTTCGGTAAGCCGATTCCAGCTGTGTCGTTGGGCGGGGTACACTCTGGACGGGTTGCCAGTCAATCACACTGATATAGACCAACAAACAGTCACTCTCACATTCACACCTACAGACAAGCAAACTCCACACAGAAAACACCCTTTCTGTCAGGGATTTGAACCAGGGGCCGTCTTGCTGTGATGCAACAACCACTGAACAACTGTGCTGCTCAGGAAAAAAATAAAAATTCAGCAACAAAACAAACCTTGGACCTTGTCCACAGGAGCTTTAATGATAGAACTAATGCATATAAGAGAAGTATTTTGATCGTATGATTAAAATGATTCAAAAGCACAGTGCTGGTGGCCTAGTGGTTAGTGTGCGCCCCATGTATAGAGGCTAAAGTCCTTGAGAGCAGACGGCCTTCTGCTCTCTTCAAATCCGACCTGTGGCTCCTTCGTTTGTTTGTTCCGCATTTCGTTATTCACTCTCTCTTTCCGGCTTCTGACTCTATCACTCTCTGACAATAAAAGCAAATAAAGCCCTAAAATATATCTAAATATATTTAATAAAATAATTAAAGAAACTCCTTGTGCAGTATCAGTAAAATCCATAGTATGATACATGAAAGCAGTACAATTCTTTTTACAGCAACCCATAATATCATCGGTTTATTCTAAGGTCATGTGGTAAGGTGGGGTTTAGTGGAAAAAAAGAGATTTTATTTGTATTACGGTTAGCTATTACGGTTTCATGTATTGATAAACAAAACAAAAATAATCACAGTGCAAAGTGTAAAGTTTTTTATGTGAGGTTTGGTTGATTCATTGAAAAAAACAGGATTTCTTTAAAAACTGTTTTGAATTGAATACATTGCACTTTGACGAGTATGTTACTTTTAATGAACAGATAAAAGCCCTCGTGTGATCATTATAGGATTCTGTAGATTCTAACTTATATGCAGCAAAATCCAAAACAGGGCTTTAAGTTAGTTTACATACTAAAGGATCGCATGCTTGTAACAAAAAAAATCATCTGCATATTTCAGCAGTGTGACAGCCACAGCAGGATGTGGAATAAGTTTACTTTAATGTAAATAAAATGTATTAAACATGCTGCACACCATATATCATAACACCTTTGCAACTTTACTGATTTGGGGCATTTCAAACTGTTTTTTGTTTTTTTTTAACATCACACTTTATAAAATGTTCACATCTCCTTTTTCTTTACATGTCCTCACTGTGCTGCAGACTGACAGAAAAGGGAAGAAACGGACATTGCTAATTGGCAACATAACTTTTGTAATGTTACCCTTTGTGATGTATTATGTTTGTTAAATGTAATCATATATTTGATCAGTATTTCCATTCAAATCAAAATCTCCTCTAGAAATGAATCCTGGCATCAGTATGGTGTTGATGATTTCTGTCTTTTTTTATATTTTACATTTTATGCCTAGATGTGCATATTGGTGTTAAACCTGAATATTCTATGGAGTCTATGTTCTGCTAAACAGTCCAAGAATATTTTTAAAAGATGAATACAAATGTCCTCCTCTGCTTCAGCTGCACCACACGTCTCTGCAAGCATTAGAAACATGTCGCCAAATTTTAATGTAGCATTTTGTTTATCACTCTCTTGGAAGACTTGACTGTCCTTTAGGCTATTTCATTGCGTCCCTTTCGGATTAACAAGACGCGTACTTGAAGGCAGCATTAGAGCCACCAAACGTTTGCGTCACGAACACCTGTAGAACGTCGGCCACAGGTAAGCCTCTTGCTTCTTTGCAGTAAGTCCTGTGTGCGCTGTAGGATGAGTATGAGATGATCTGTATGTAGCTGATTCCTCATGATGTGTGATGGAGGGGCGCATCATTGGCTGACCCAGGCCTTTATCCGTCACCTGCCCTGACCTGCTCCTCGAGCCTCTACACTGCCACACAAGTTCTGCAGAAGTCCCTGAATGTGTCATAAACCATCAACATCCGTGAAGATAAAATTGGAGCAATAATGTCTGACTGACAGGCGTCACATTCCGCTGTTTGTTGTCTCTTCCAATTCCTGCGTGATATCTCATTATGTACTTAAAGATCAAAATTGGACTCGTGTAGGAAGAGAACCTGTCACTGTGCCATACCTTTGCTCTGCCCCAAATTGACGCTGGTGGGTGCATCTCAAATGATATTAGAGCATTAATTATAGGACTATGGCAGATTAGATTTCCCCGAGCAATTTAGCAGAAAACTCTGTCGCTTAGCAACACCGCTGCCGTTCAAAAAGCTGTGTGGTTTGTAGATGATAAACATTAATCATTAATTAATATCATTCAGATCAAGATTTATTGAACATCTGCGCGCCTTCATGTCACCAGAAGAAGCTCAGGGCGTAGTAGTGGTAGTAGTGAGAGCTCCGAATGACTTTACCCCACACATGGAGGAGTTACGGATCACTGCACGGGTCAAAAGGTAATGCAGCGAAAATGACACCCATGTAACTTTGGAAATGATGACATATTGGAGCGCTGGAGTAGGCCTACCTACAGTATGATTGACGTTTTCGCATTATGAGCAAGAAGATAAAGTCAGTCCCTGCAAACGGTCACCTCAGACACCCCCCCCCCCCCCCCCCGCAGATTATTTTCCCTCCACAACTTCCCCGATTGAAGACTGCAGCTGAAACTTTTTGATGGGAGCGACTCTTTCTGGCAATGAGACTCGTGGCAAACAGCTTTAAGAGAGCTCAGCACAACCAGTTATGGTGATAGAGATTAAAATAGGAACCATAGCAGATTGGATTATACTTAATGCGCCATTTCATATCGTGCAACGTGTCACATTCTGGGCGCTGCGCCCTTGTTTATGAGGTGCGTCCGAATTACAATTAGCCCACATTTCACTGAGACTCCTTTGAAGCAGACGTGCTCGGTGTTGTGTAGACTTAACCAGTGGGCAACATTAATTTGACCATTTGCATTGGATCATTGCTGTGTTTTTGTGCCTTCCCTTTGCGCTCCATGCCACCACTCCAAATTACGCACAATGCGTTGCCGCCAAATATCACAAAGACTCGATTGTGCAGAAATGCAGTGTGACCAATTATTTTCAGTGGTCTTTATTACCAGGACAGTCCAGGACAGGATTACCAGAACAGTCGTACATGAAAGCCTGTGGATGTTTCACTCGCGTGCCTGTAAACCGTAGGAGCATCGGGCATCTCTCTTCTCTCTTTAAACATGAAGGCTTTTCATTCTGGGCTTTACACAGATGCAGATATTGAATCATTCGGGCTCAAAATGAAGTTAAAAGAGATCATGTTCATGCTCTTAACGAACTCCTACTATGTCTGCGCATGTGCGCTGAGCAGCGTTCAACGTTTGCGACCTTATTCTCTTTATAATAATGCGTTTAGAGCTTAGATATATCTTCTTCTTGCACTGATGAGGAACAGAACCGGTACCCGCGCATCGAGAGCTCCGAATCCGGAGTGCTGCTGCGCGAGGGGAGGGAATCCCTCCAGTGTCTGACGCTTCCTTTACCAAGGAAACCCACACGCGCTCTCTGACGCAACTGCCCATTTAAGGAAACATGCGTCAATGGACCGAAGCAAGTCAGACAAATAGTGAACTCCACAGCAGGCACTGACGTCCGTATCAGAAAATAAATCTCTCCACACACATTTCAGCTGCTTTGACTGCATCCCCGCTTTTCGGTTATGTCTCCGGTGTCCGCTCTGCGAAGGCTGGCCGAAGCGGATCTTTCCTTTTTCACTGCCTTATCCAGAAAACGACCCCTCCCTGGATGAAATCGCAACGCCCATGCGTGACGTAGGCGGTTTCGTTGGTGTTGAAAAGCAGTTGCAGTTCTTCATAGTGCCATTGAAGTGAGTCATCTCTAGGAAGTGCGGTGAAAAAAGGAAAAGAAAAAAAAGTTAGAACTGTTCCGTGAACAGCAGAGAGCTCAGTTAGAGTGTGTAGACGGCAAAGAGACGGAAAATACTCAGAAGATTATCCAGGCAATAGGCTTTAAAGCGAGTGTTAACCTGCGTGAGTCACTCTGTAACTACAGGTTCACTTGTCTCAGCTGGATTTGACTGCTGAAGGTGTGCTACTGACTGTAGGTTCAAGTCCTCACCTGAGGATCTCTGCTAGTGTAGTTTAGGTTTACCTGCGGCGGAAGAAAAATAATAGCACAATAACTAATAGCCTTTAACAGCAGGGATACCAATACATCTATAATAACTGATCGTATCAGTGAGATGTGTTAGGTTAGTTTAGTGAAGCATATTTGCACTTTGTCGTTGCCAACTTTTTCTGGATATCCAAAATTAACAGCGTTTCGAGTCAGAGGATTTTTTTCTGGTGCCTTTTCAGTGCGAGGATTTAAAAGAAAGGGTTTCAGCAGAGCTCAAACAGTCTACTGAAATCCCCCACTTTCCTGGATCATGTACCAGGACTACTCCGGGAACTACGACACCTCGTCTCGCGGCAGCAGTACATCTCCGGCCCAGCCAGAGTCCTTCACAAGCGGCAGCAGCACGATCGGAAGTCCGATCTCTACCTCAAGCTACCAGGTAAAACTAGGATGTAGAGACCTTACCGATAATTTCCCAATATATAAATATGAACTGCACGACCTCTTGCAATAACAGCTTTATTGCACTTAAGTCGTTTATTATCATGGTGACATTATATCCTGGTTGTCCGGGTCGCTTGGGGGAAAAGACGGGAAAAATATGAACACAGCGCATGGGAAACTGCAAAGATGCCAGACTGGATGTATGCACAAGTGCTATAGATTTATATCATATCAAATCTATGAAAGCTATCTTGACGCAAACGGCTGATGCACTTGCCGACGTTGATAAAATATGAGACTTATGCACTGACTAGTCGTATTATTATAATTCCACCGTTTGTTAAGCTAAACGTCTAAATGCATCCTACCAGGTGACACTGACAAATACAGAGAATGTTTGTTCTGAGGTAAAAGTGGGACACATTTAAAGACATTTGAGCCAGATTTCTCCTCCTTTCAGCTCATAAAACTGTTGTATTTTTTGGTCTCTGCGCCTGTAGCTCCGCGCTGGGAACGCGTTTTACGCGCAAGCATTATAAAGCGGATAAATCCTCTAGAACGCCCACATAACATACCCTGAGCTATTTACACATTCAGTTAGTCTGGCTACAGATTAAACCTTTATGGTAAATGCAACAGGCATGTACTGCTTGACACAAGAATTCACACCATAATGGTGACGTCCAGTTTCTCTTGGCCACCAGTTCAAACAGTTCGGGGTGCAACCGAGTCGTGCAAATAGGTTCAGTTTAATGTGGAATTCACAGGAAATAAGTACCATATTGTATATCAGAATGTGCATGATCAATGATAACATTGCTGCCTGGGTTCCCATACGGCTGTCGCGCTTCACATGGCACATTTCCTCAAGCGGGAAGTGCGCAGAGACGAAGAAGGCAATCAAGCCTGTCTTTCCTTATTGATAAAATGTCATAAAATGAAACTGGTGCGCTCCGATAGAGCGATTAAAACACTGATCTGGAGAGGCTACATCCTCGTTTCACTATAAGTTAAGGTTTCACATTCTCATTACGATATACATTACTGTAGGCGTGCCATTGTAGCGTGATAATGAGGACGCCTTGCCCGTGCGTTCATAAATAATAGGATATAAATCCGGGAAAAGGAATGTTGTTTACCCGTACCTTGTCTTGTGTCAGTGCACTTATGTGGAAAAATCCTCGTCAGGCTCACGCAACCTGACGGTAAACGACTTTTGGACCGTGTCTATCATTGCTCTGGCTCCCTGTAATCACACACTGGTTGTCTGTTTCTCATTACAGCGGGCTGGGACATGACCTCAGGTTTATTGAGACATCTCAAAACAAAGCATTTATTAGACCAAAAGTTTTATCAGTTAGACCGGGGCTTCTTGATAGAGTTGAACGACTCCCCTGATTATTAATGTGCTGCATTCACCCATCACATTCTTTTCACTGGAATTTTAACGCTCCCATATTGAAGCCAAAAATATAATTCTGGCTAACTGCTTGGCTCGTTACAGCTGGCTGCTTCCCCCCTTTACTGGAACTGAGCGCGTTTCACATGTGCTTAACAAATCCCATACACAATGACTCACCAGATAAACAAAGTTCCATAGACTGCCGGGATATCCGACGGAAAGTCGGGAATAACGGGGATATGTGGACGTGCGTAATTTACGCACACAGGCAGGCGGGCTGCCCGTCTCTTTGAGGACCCCAGAGACATGAAGAAGTACGGATCTGACAACAGTTTCCATTCTTTCATCATCATAATTACAGTTTCACAAATACATGTTGTTATGTATGAATTTAAACTGTGGAGAATTTCAAAGAAGTGCTCCAAATCCTTTTTTTGACCGACTAAATTCATAACTTGCTATTAGTTAAAAATCATAGCATCTTGCATCACTTTCTGGCTCCAATCATCCCTGTGACTACAGGCAAATGCACCATTTTACTTTTAATAGTATTTTGATTAAAGACAAGTTTTATTTCAGCAAAAGAAATAAAACTATCAGAATTTTTTTTCTAAATCACAAAAGAAGGTCTATGCAACGTGTGAGCCTTCACATGCAGGTTGTACTCAGTCAAAGTGCAAATGATCAAATGTACCCTCCTGAAAGTCAGAAATGTTTGCGCTGTGTTTTGCCTCATGGTTCTTGTAGTAAAGTGAGATGAACTGGACACCCTGGGCTTTCCCATGATTCACAGCATGTGTCACTGTTCCACTTCAGGGGTTACATACGCACTGTTTTGCCTATGTGAATTGAATCATTACTATAAGCTGGAAATGTGGAAAATGTGTGAATTTGATAAAGGTGGGTGGTGGTGTCTGTGTTTCCACGATTGTGTTGACAGCAAACGGAGGCATTGCTACTTGATACGAACTTCAATGTTTACAGGAATCAGTTGCACACATTTTCTCCAAAACTAATAATCATATCTCCCTCTTTTCTTCTCTTTCCAGAAGTACAGGGTCGACATGCCCGGCTCCAACAGTGCCTTTATACCCACAATCAATGCAATCACGACCAGCCAAGACCTGCAGTGGATGGTCCAGCCCACAGTTATAACCTCCATGTCCAACCCTTACTCCCGTTCCCACCCGTATGGCCATCACCTGACCAACGGCCCGGGGCTGCTGGGACACCACAACACGTTGGCTCGGCCCGGGGTCATCCGCTCCATTGGGGACGCCAGGGGCCGACGCAAGAGGGACGAGCAGGTGAGGGACCTGGGTTGACTATGTGAACAGAATAAGACTTGAAAAAGGCCTGGAGGGGAGTTGTTTCTTCTGCAAAGCACAATATTTAATTATTTGTCTTTAAAGACATGTTGGTCAGATTTTTTTTTATCATGCCAAAAGATTCTTTGCATCATTGTTGTACTTGCAGCCAGCCTGTGGAACCAGGCTCCTGTTTTTACTCGTGCTCTCCCATTTTTATTATTGATTATATCTGTCTTGTAGACATCTTATTTTACCTGCCATGTTCCCTTGTCTCCCCCCCCCCTTTAGCTCACACCAGAGGAAGAGGAGAAAAGGAGGGTGAGGCGCGAGAGGAATAAGTTAGCCGCTGCCAAATGCCGCAACCGAAGGCGAGAGCTCACAGATATGCTGCAAGGGGTGAGTCTACAACCTGTTCACCACTGCCATCAGATCAGGATTTTTTTTTTTTAATTTAATGGTGTTAAAATGACGCTGAAACCAGTGTAAGTGCTGGAGCATCATGTTCCTCTAATGCGGCAAACCAGTGGTTCCTTTTTTTTGTGCAGAATATGCAATGCTTAGAAAATCTAAATTGCAAAAGCAACAATAGAAATGATGTGCACGGACAGAATACATGTTGCACAAGAAGAAAAAAAAGTAAGTCACTCTTGTTCATAAGGCTGGCAGGGGTCCAGATTTCCGACGAGTGTTTGAACTCCACACCTAAATTTACAACCTGCATTACTGGTTCAACTCTCACTGCGTCTCTGAGTGCAAGGTCTGAGTGACGAGCTGACAGGCGATGAAAAGCTTTTTGTCTCGGGCAGCTGTAGACAGAGGTAGGGCTGTCTGCAGCAGGCCCTGCCTGGCAGACAGCAACGGCAGCTAAATGGACTAATTAGCCGAATTACAGTGAGGTTGAGCCTGTCAGGCCTTAAAAAACCCCCAGGAATGGAATTCGCTGTAGGCAGCTGTCTCCATGAATGCGGGACATTTTGTAAAAAGGGGCCAATTGCTTGTCTCAAAAATCCCACAGAGAAACATGCTGCACGCACACACACACACACACACACACACATCTCCAAACACACACACATCACAGCCATTGCTTCAAGGGAAATTTAATAAACGGCCTTCTATTTTCACACGCCTGATTTAAAAAATAATAATAATAAGGAAGTGTCGCTTTCCAGTGAAGAGAAGGAGCAATGTTTTTACAATTGTTGATTGTGTTTGATGGAGTCAAACCCCCTCCTGCTCCTTAGCTTCCTCATACCTTTGCCCATGAGTCAAAGTTCTCAGACAGCATGTCAGCTTATCTGTGTTGTCTAGAACTGGGGAACGGCTTTTATGGGATTCTGTGTCCGCCTTTCAGTGCGACATATTAATGACACACCAGACACATACAATACAGACTCATTGTGTGGAACTCAGATTCAAGCAGACGGCTCTCAGATTTACATGTCGTAAATCTAAATGGCTCATGACAAATTTTTTATTTAATGTGTTGTTTGTGCTACTTTCTATGAAACTGTAGCAAACAAATACTGCCCTCTTTTGGTGCATGAGGGGAACACTGGAACAACCTGACTCTCTTAAATCTAAACAAACTAGAGATTCTGGCTTCACCAAAGCTTAGAATAAATAGACTGAAGATGGTCTTTTGTGTCTGAATATGCATGAACACTCGCTTTGCAGTATTTGTTTTTTTACAAAGTTAAACCGTCTTAGATGCCAACGTTGCACTCATACACTTCTGGTCTGGCTGTTGGATGTCATTTCAAATCTCTCTGACCCCCCCTCCCCTATTTCCTCTCATCTCTGTGCTGATGCTGTCTAAAAAAATATATGAAATGACTCAGAATTTTTTGCATGAAAATAATCTTCTGAAGCTATTCCTGACAAAAGGTCAATAAAAACAAAAGTAAAAATAAAGATTTTGACCTTAAGAGAAACTCTTAAATATGTAATCAGATTTTTACCTTAATTTTGTATAAATACTAAATTAACTTAATTTTTACTTACTTAAGCATTGTTATGAATAAATATTTGAGTACATAATTATCTGGAAATGACTAAAGGACATGTCAATGAGTTACTAAAATACAAAGTGTTAAATCTCCCTTTGTGTTTGTCCTCACAGGAGACGGAGAAGCTGGAGGAGGAGAAGGCTGACCTGCAGAAGGAGATCGAGAGCCTGCAGAAGGAGAAAGACAAACTAGAGTTCATGCTGGTCGCCCACAATCCCGTGTGCAAGCTCCCCATCGACGAGCGCCACCAGCAATCGGGCCACCAGCAGCACCATCATCAGCAGCAGCAACATCATCATCAGCAGCAGCAGTGCGCCCCCCTTCCCCTGACCATGCGCCCCAACATGGGCCCCCGTGCTCACATGAACCACGTGGTGGTGAAGCAGGAGCCCGATGACGACGAGGTGGTGGGCAAGTCGCAGCGCTCCGTCATCAAGCCGATCTGCCTCGGTGGCGGCGGAGTCGGTGGCGGGATGTACTGCATAGACGGAGACAGCCTGAACACACCGGTGGTAGCGGCGTCCACCCCGGCCGCCACACCCAACGCCCCCCCCAGCCTCATATTCACCTACCCGAGCATGCTGGAGCCCGACAGCCCCTCACCCTCCTCCGAGTCCTGCTCCAAGGCCCACCGGCGCAGCAGCAGCAGCGGGGACCAGTCCTCAGACTCCCTCAACTCCCCTACCCTCCTCGCCCTCTGAGTGAGACACAAACACTGTGGCTGAAGGCATCATGAGGATCCACCCCCCCCCCCCCAGTGTCTTTTAAAGACTTAAGAGCACATTCAACAGTCCAGACCAAGCTGACCGTGTGAGCCGTTTCCCTCTCTTACAGGGAGACCCACAAGGGCTACGCCATGTGTTTGTTTCTGTTCTGCTTCGGTGTAAAATGTTCTTTTTCTTTTTTTTTGTAAAAGCGTGTGCACCGATCCCAATGAGTGTCATCCCTTTGCCATTTCAACACCAGAGTGTCAACTTGTTTACTGAGCAGACGATTTTGTTTGAAGAAAGTACATGCCTGAAATCTGGCAAAAAAAATTGTGAGTTGATGTGACTGACTACAACTAGAGAGCGCGTTCTTAATATATATATATATATTTTTTGAAAATGTTTAAAAAGCCATGCGGCCGACACTTGCACTCCGCCAAGACGAATCAATAAATCACTAAACGAGGTCTGCGAGGAGAGAAAGAGACAATGAGCAAAAGACTTCCTCTCTGCGTTTTTTTTTTTTCCTTTTGAGATTTTTGGACCTTGATTCAGGAACCGTTACTACGAGTGTGTACACATTTCTGACGCTATTTCCATCTCTTTAATTGTATTTATGGCCTGTGCTGATTACATTTTTATAAAGTGTTTCGTTGACGACATCGTCCTCTTCTTTATCTGCCTGTAGAAAAAGCAAAACAGTCGTCCTGCACAGGGCGACCGAAGCACTCCTCAGTGTTGCAAAGGATACGAGCCAACGTCTAATCAATGACTAGTTCCTCAATACTCTATACCTTCTATTTTTGCCATAGTGGCTTTACAGTAGTGTTGGTGTGCTTTTCCTCAGTGACTCTGTACCTGAACTTTACAATCTGTTTATGACAAAGTGTATGTGATTTACATTGATGTCAGGGATATCTCTCATGTGTAGTAGAACCCCCATCGTGAAGAGTGGTGCAGGACTGTCGACTGGTCTACCCCCCCCCACACACACACACACACACACAAGTGTTGCAGAGGTGGTACGCAAAGTTGTCTTTCGTTTAAGTGTGTCACATTAAGAAGGTTTTGTCTTTTTTTTTTTTTTTTTACTGCTTAGACGATGGTTTGAAGAAACCCCTCCTGACACTGGATTCTGTCCTTTTTTTTTTAGTCTTTTTAAAAAATATATAAATAAAGGTCTAACCTTTTCAACACTGCCACTCAGGTCAGGTTCCAAAAAAAAAAAGAAGCCAAAAAAGGATTTGTGTGACACGTGTAATTCTTTTTTTTTTTAAGGAGGGATTTTTAGCTCAAATTTGAAAAAAGCCGCTGTGGTCTAGACTGTCGCCAGCAGCCAATGATGTCAACCCTGTTTATACTGTGTTTTGTAAATCTGTCACTTTTAGTAAAGAAACATGAAATTCAACTCAGATGTGCTGATTTATGGCTGTGTGAACATTCGTCGACATGGAGGTACTCAGTAAAAAGGCAGTCTTTGAAACACGGGCCAGACACAGTTGACTTTTGTGTCGATAAGGAAGGGAATACTCTCTGTACAGCTGGCCTGACATGAAAGAGGGGAGAATATTTCTGAGGTTCTATGAAGCACTTCTTTTGCATTTTTTATTTTATTTTTGCGTATCTTAAAGGGATGAGGGTTTTCAATACCGTGCACTGAGAGGGACACAATGGCGATATTAGGGAGTTGTTTTTTGTTTACTTCAAACATTCCTAATAAATAAAATGTCAGGGGAAGAAGTGTTATCAGAGGAATTCAAGTTGTTATTGGAAGATCTTTTGTTGTGCTGGATGTAGAAAAAAAAAATGGACTTTTTGCCATTCAATACAATCTGCTGCTACTTTGGAAAGAACACGTCGGCTGTTTATCGTTTGATCGTGTTTGGGATTTACATCACCGGGTTGTGATCAGAGAATATTTCATCCTGACATAAAGAGGTAACCAAAAAAAACACAAGTGTGGGCGAGTCTGATGTGTCTGTATGTTGGAAAGAAAGCGAAGCCCCTGGACACACGTAGGAAAGCCATTGACTGTAGATCTTCTGCTGTACATGTCATCTACTGTCTGTCGCCTGTTTTCAACTATTCCTTCTTTTTTCCAAATGCTTTAACTGTTTCAAATGATTCAAAATTAATTAAAAAAAACAGCAATATGTATAGCAGTGTTTGTTAATTTAAATGAATAATAATAATAAAAAAAATATCATTTTCAACCTGACGTTGTCGCAGTGCTTTCATGGAAATGAACTTCCAGCGGTTCACAAACATCACACGTTCTCCTACAGACTCCTACACTCACTTTAAGTATTCAAAATATCATCACCCTGTTGATGTTTCCATATTTCTTATCAATGCAAAAGATAAAAAGCGCATTTTGAATTTGACAAAGTCAAGTCTAGGTTGGTGTTACGCCCCACCAGAAGGTGACCCTATGGGGCTAAACCACAAATTGACCCAATAAAAACACTAAAACACCTCACCAAAGTCAGAACAAAGGGATGTATTATCATCACACAGACTAAATGATCAACTCAGAAACTAATATAAAAAACACAACAGACAGTCCCTGACTGAAAGGCCAAGCAGTCCCAACTCCAAATGTCTCTCCTTTCCTGCAGCCACCACTGGGCAGGTTTCATCTCTGAGGCCAGGTGTGCCTCATTGTTCAATTAGTGGCTTCACCTGAGACAACGGAGAGAGAGAAGGGACAAACAGCCGGAACAGTTGGGAACAGATATAGTATAGCTAGTTTAAACAAAGAAAAAGGAAAGACTTGAGGCTTATATTTATTATATTTATTACAGTACTGAAATTATACTTTTTTTTTTTTAATCATTATGAGTAATAACACAGGCCATGATTAATAATTGAAAGTATATATAAATATATATATATATATATATATATATATATGTTCAGGCTTTTGTGTTTCAATTTATAATCAAGGAAATAAAATGATTGTGACCAGCACAGACATGAAGGTATTACACACACACACACACACACACACACACACACACACACACACACACACACACACACACACACACACACACACACACACACACACACACACACACACACACACACACGTATTATTATATAAAGTTCATATGATGGAAAATCAACACACATTAGATCTCTCAAATGTAGTGTAATGGTGATATAAAACCACTAGAGGACAGAAGTTTGTAATGAAGGTGACTGTTTATAAGCAAAATAGACCCCCCCCCCCCCCCCCCACACACACACACACACACACACACACACACAACCATCCCACCACCCCACCAACAAAAGTTGTCCCATCATGACAGTCATAATGTTTAATCTTCTTTAATAAACTCCAGAGGGGCAGACACCACTTTACACTTAAGTCATAATTCTTTGTGCATTATATTCAGGTATAAAATGACATTAATATGATGTTGGTATTTTTCCAGTTCCTGTAATGTTTTAATAGCATTTGTTTTTGCATTCGTCAGCTGTTAATCACAAAGGCAGAAAATTTAATTATTCCATGCTTTGTATATAAAAAGTGTAGCCCATATATGTAATCCTCCTTTCAATTTAAAATAAAAACTTTGGGTCTGTCTAAATACTGCAGAGCAATGTACTACACACTTATTAAGAGAGGAACAAACTTTTAAAAAAGACTCTCAGCTGCAACAAGAGGAAACTTTTAGTCTCTCGATCACCACTGACAACAAAAACATTCACGTGTTTATAGAAACCAGAACATTAGATTTATTGTTGCTGTACATCATTAATATTATTCTACTTAAACCGTGGAAAACGGAAATTCAAAGAGTCATTGGATCAAATCACGAGTGCCTACTGCCCCCATGAGGACACAGAAGGTAATTACAACTTAAGGGTTAATAGGCATTATTTCATTGTTTCTCATGATTGAATACATACTTAATCAAAAAATAGTAATACATTTTATTTAAACAGCCATTTACAACATACTTAAAGACAGGGTCACATTAAAAGGAAGAAAAGACAATAAATACACAACAAACAGGAACATCAGCAAATGAAAGCAGTTCTCAAAAGGTGGGTATATCGAGGGAGTCAACACCATCAGTAGGCTTTCTGTGTTTTTGTTTTTGAATGAAGCTCTCAGTTGTGTGTGTGTGTGTGTGTGTGTGTGTGTGTGTGTGTGTGTGTGTGTGTGTGTGTGTGTGAAAACATATTTGTCTTTCGACCATTTTTTGAATCCTTCCATGACCCCTCTGTTCTTTGACTCCTACTGTACCTTTTGTTTTGGACTCTGAGTCCATGTTTGTATTTCATTTTGATAGAGTCAGTGTGTGGTTTTAAGGGCTATGCTCATGTGATACCTCTTAGTAAAAGGTGCAGTGTTTTGTTAGTTCCCCAACTTGCGACCTCTGTCGTTCAGATTTTGTATTCTGGGGGGAAACGTAACATATTGGCCCCCTACTGGTCCTACTGGTACATGTCACCCCTCACCCTCTCTCCCTAATTTCCATCTCTATCCACCTTCCTATCTCTATAATAAAGGCACAAAAAGCCTTAAGTCTTCTGGAATCTGGAAAAGGTTTCTTTGTATGTTCCTGAAAACTAAAGGAGACACAGCTTTTGCAGCCAGGACTGTGACGCTCTGATCTTGCTGAGGAAATCTGATAATTTCAGTCACTGATCTTTCTTGTATTTCATCATTTTATGTATTAGAACATTCATATTTTTCGATGGCAGCAATAAATGATTGTCTGGGACATTATGTGCTTTTTATTTCATTTCATAGCAACTTAATTTTGTCAATATTTCTGAATGCAAGAGTTTACAAGTAAAGGGCTTATCTTTTCCTGTTGGCCATCACTGTTTGTGTGTTTCCTTTTCCCCTGATAACTTTGTCCTTGGTTTCATTTTTGTGCCCTTGTGAAGGGCTTTGTATCAAGCTTGCTCTAAATACAGGTTATTAATATCAGTACATGACTAAGAAACTACAGTAGGAAGCAGGACGTACAGAGTTCTTTTCCCTTTCCTGTCAGGAACATGTCCACAAGGATTAAATCGATTTCCCCCATGATATCTGATTACAGATCTAAATACACACCAGCTTATTTGCTGCCTTTTTTTTATTCTTCTTTGGTCCGACTCTGTTTCAGGTCATGTTTCAGCCACAGTGCAGATTTTTTTTTTTCACTGTTAAAAAAACAACATTTCAAGATCTCACCCTTCATCTGAACACCACACGTTCACTGGGAGTGATTGTGTGAATGTGCTGAGTAAGCGCAACAGCTGATAACCTCCACAAGGGTAATTAGAAGGAAATTGATTTCAGCTTTGTAAGCCTCAGTAAAACTAGCAAAGCAATAAAAGGCTAACAAGCAGGGCTAATAAATATTAAACATGGCGGTATAGAGATGTGTAGCTTATGTTGTTACTGTGGAGCTGAAGGAAGAAACCACAAAGTGTTCAAGAGGAAGCTGTGAAAAGTGCTCTTGGATGCATTTAACCTCCTACTTTCAGAAAACCAAACACTGAATATTTTAGTACCATGTTTGATAGAGAGACGGATAAAGATGTTTGTTTGTTAAACTTGCAGAAAATAAGGAGCCCAAGGCTGCAGATGAAACAGAACTAATAATGTGTTACTAAGTTGGCTGGAGAATGATTCCTGATCAGATTCTGATCAAGTTAAAGCAGTAGTTCTCAAACTGTGGGGGGACATGATAGAGGCCCCCTCTATCGGGGGGCAGTCTGGGCCCCTCATTGAAATCTGATTGGACACCCCAGGTGCTATACTCCAAAATCTCAAACTATAGTTCGCAATTTTGCCTCACCAGAGGAAGGACGTGTTTTGACTGAGAGTGGCTTTCTTTACATTTCAGGGAGGTAAATGGTAAATGGACTTGAGCTTGTTTAGCGCTTTTCTAGTCTTCTGACTACTCAAAGTGCTTTTACACCCCATGTCACACCTACACATTCACACACTGATGGAAGAGGTTTATAGGAAAGTGACTATCAAAGGTAATTCTTCTGTAGATGTTGGTTGTTCGTCATATAACAAAGAGTTAGGTCATTTACCTGCTTTTTGTAAAGTGTCTCGAGATAACATTTGTTATAAATTGGTGCTATAAAAATTAAAACTGATTGATTGAATTAAGATTTCAGGTCAGCCTGCCCCAGAAATCTTCCTGAGTTGCTCTTTCTTACATGTCCCTCACAACAGGAAGTTTTCCCTCAAGTGCAGAGAAGAAAAGAGTATGAACAAACATGCATGACGATTGGCCTGCTTGCATGTAGTGACTTTTACTGAATATTACTGTTCACACATCGGCTCAACCCTGACTTCACACTAGATTTCTCTCGGGTGCAGGCATGAAAAAGTCTGGGGGTATCAGAAGTCTTGTGCATGTGTAAAAACAGCACAATTATACAACCGTGCTGCAGGTTGCTGCTGTTGTTAAATCAAGTGTAGGAGCACATTTGGAAAATGTATGAAAAGGCAACCAAATCAGACATAGTGTATCAACAAATAAACTATTCAATTATCATTTAGAACATTCTTACAACTTTCTTAACCTTACTGTGTTTTTAATCATCATGTAACTCACTTGACAAAAGTTCAGAGGGACCGAAACGTTGTGATTTTTCTAATAAACTGGTGATACTTAGCAAGAGTAGTGTGCATCATTTTTTTTCTTTTCAAATCATCATATGTCTAAAAGAATTATCAAATGATCCCTTTCTGATGAGATCCATCAGACAGTAAAAATTCTGGGAGCAGAGGGAGGGAAAAAAATTGAAGTTTTTCAAAAAAATTCAACAATAATTGCTTTTAAATCACGGTCAAAATGATTGTAAAATGTGGCCTTATTTGCATGTGAGGTATTTCCTTTGCTCTCTTTGTTTATGGTGCATCTTATCAGTCTTTTAGTCACCCTCTGTTAAAAATTAGAGTAAAATCACAGTCTCTATCTCTGTGTTAATGTAGTATTTAAAAAAAACATTCTGGCTGTCCTTCAGTTCTGACAGATATTGCTGACAGGGAGTTTTTCTAAGAAGTAATGAACTCAATCAGAGTGCTGTGTGACTTTGAGTGTAAAGGGCCGGACGCGTGGAGGTGCGACCCGAGCGTAGAGGGTGACCAAACCCCTGACTGCTGACGTGGACGTTTGTTGCAGGGCTGAGGACAAGAGGTGCTTAACAATTCCCTGACAGATTCCGGCTGCATGTCACAGAGAGAATAATCTATGTAAAAGACCACCACCTCATCAGGCAGTTACTGTCGAGGCGTAAACAGGTTGAATCGAGAATGGAAAATGTTGTAGTATTGGTGTCTTTTGGAGGGCATCTCAGATGTTCGATGATCGATTGGCACATTCTTATCTGAGGAACAGATAAGAGATAAAACACCGGTGTTGATAAAAGAAACTGTGGCACAAATGAAAGCATCAACCCACAGCACCTTCAAAAAGTTGCACACACACTGTATCCACACTAATGTGAAATATAACGTTTGCACAGATCATTAAAAACACTCGATACTCATCTGGAGATGAATTGTGAATTCAGCTCTTTGTGAGGGTTTTTATTGACTTTTAACTAATTGTGGAGCCGGGCACATTGATTTATTAATCACGACACTGATGACCAAACAAAACAGAAAGAATCCTTTCCATTGGATTGAGCAGGTAAAAGCCTTTTGACATCAAATACAGCAGCGACACGAGAAAGAGATGCATGGATGGAAAGCATGATGTAACGGCATGGCAGGAATGGAAATGAGATCAGAAAGAGGACATTACAAATCACAGAATGCAGAGTCATCTTCGCAGTCAGCACAAACTTGTAAATTGTTCAACCAAATTCCAGCAAGTTTCTCATGATTTTACTCCGTCATTAAAATTCATCAGCAACAAGGAAATATGTTGAAAAAGTATTTTAGTGTTTGGCAAGCAAACACTTCCCGTTTCCCCTCTCGTCTTTGTTAAGGTTTAATACACTTAAGATCAGGTAAGCTACATGTTTAGCATTGGCAAACATTTCCCAATATAATAAAAGGGATTTGCTTGACTTTGATTACTCAGCCCGCCTTGATTTTAGTCACATTTAAAACAATACCATAGGTGCAGCTAATCCATTGACCCTGTTCATGTGTTGGGTAAGGGGTTCTTCTTCTAAAAGAATGAGTTCAGGGTTGGTTAATAGTTTTGAAACTCCTGTAACTCATGAAGATAATTCAGTTCATGCTCTGTCTGTGCTCTATGTGCTTCTGCCTCTGGTAATACTTGGAGAACTTGTTGAAGATGTTGGTAATGGGCAAAGCCACAATCAGCAGCCCACAGACGATGCACAGGGATCCTATGATCTTTCCTGCAAGCGTGACAGGAAAGGTGTCCCCGTAGCCCACCGTAGTCATGCTAATGGTAGCCCACCACCAGCCAATGGGGATAGACTGCAGCTCTGACTCCTGAGATTCTCTCTCCACAAAGTAAATAAGAACAGAAAATGTGGAAATGCCAACAGACAGGAAGAGCAGCAGCTGTCCGAGTTCGTTGGAGCTGTGTTGCAGCGTCGCACCGAGAGAGCGAAGACCGGCCGAGTGCCGAGCCAGTTTCAGGATGCGAAACACTCGCATCAACCTCAAGATCTGAACCACTTTGCCCACATTCTCCAGTTCGTTGTTCTCACCTTCATCCATTACGTCACAGGCTAAGGTGACGTAGAATGGCATGACTGATATCAAGTCGATGATATTGAGAGTGTTGCAAAGGAACTTCCTAGCGGATGGTGCTACAACTAAACGAAGAACAAACTCTGCCGAGAAGTAGAGAACGCAGATGGTCTCAAAGAAGGTCAACACCGGGTTCTCAATCTTCTTCTCGTTGGGATCCATTTTATCGGGGTCTGGCATACTGTGGACACACATAGCAACAATAGAGACGATGACAACACTTAGGGAAACTACAGCCAACACTTTGGCTGAAGTGGAGTAACCCGGATTCTCGAGCCGGATCCAAATATTCCTGCGAACATCTGCACACCAGGAACCCTCGAACAGTTCCCTGTCGTCCTCTGACACCGACAACGAATCGATGGATAAGTCCGAGCCTTGGAACTGCACATCATTACTCCCCTGATCCCAGCTCTTATCCTCAGCCTGCTCCATCAGTTCATAGAATTTGTTTGTGCAGCAGGTGTCCAAGTGGCGCTCCTTGATGCCCCAATACTCGATCTCTTGAAAAAACGAGAGTATGCACAATCCGTCCACCAAGTGCATTTTCCCAGTGAGGTAAAAGTTGAGAACGTAGCAGAAGAATCGGGGATTCCGGTCAAAGTAGTACTCCATCTCAGAGGGACTGAAGTCGTCGCAGAGCTCCAGGATCGCTTCGCTGGAGCTGCAGCAGAGGAGGCGACCCAGACGAGTCTGCGGGAATCGTTTTAGAACTTTGTGCTCCATCCGTTGCCTGAAACCACCGACGTTGACGGTGATGCAGCGATCGTCAGGGCCGTACGGTCGAAGGATCTGTCCATACACCATGATGGGAGCAGCTGATAAAGAGGTGGTTGAGATGTCTCTAGTTACAAAATTTCAGAGGGGGTTGTTGCCTGCACACAAACACATGGAAATTAGCACAGCTCGCGCCTTCTTGTTTGTCATTTGATCACATTGAAGTGTGTTACTTTGAGGCCGTCAAGCATCGAGTTGCATCTGGGTTTCTGTGACATCCTGTATGGGAATGATTGAATAACAGCATCACTTTCTATGGAGTCTTTGTTTGCAGTCTACAGATAACACATTTCCTTTTGCCATAAAATATATATAGATGCAATTTATTTGCTTCACAAGCTGCATATGTTATAAATTATGAGAGGGTAAGCCTCTTGTACCTCTGTGACCATTAATTAAAGTCATCACAGGGCCAGAAGTTAAAGAATAGTTCACATTACTCAGTCTGTCTTGGACCCAATCAAATGTAGGAACATTTAAATGCAATGTGGAAAGCAAACCAGAGGAATGGAACTCATCATTTTTTTTTAAATGCCAAGTAATTCACTGCCCTTAAGTTTTAAATCTTATGTGAAGTTGTTCATTTAAATCAATGTATGATACACACATAACTTGATTGTGGATCTGAGCAACTTTTTGGAAACTGTTTTGTTAAGGCGGTAGATATGGTGTAAAATATGCCAGTGTTGTAAGGGCAAGATGAGTCAATGGTTCAATGTAGCACCACGAGTTTCCATATAGTGGCTTTAGATTTCGAGATACTCCTACCCTAGGTAGAACAAAGCATAACCATATTTTTTCACAACTTGAACATGTCTAGTTTATGAAATGGATGGTTGTATAAAAATATTTTACTGCAAAATAACTTTTTTGGGATATTTTATGCATCTTACCAAAAAACAAAAATAGGTCAAATTAGGGCTTCTCCAAAAGGGACAGCTCTAGCCTTATCACATGTATCTCTGGGAATCAGAATCAAAATTACACCAAATAGGGACAGGATGTTCACAGATAGTTATTAATTTCAATTATGTAAAGTTTTTATCAATATCATTTTCAATTTTTTTATTTTTCACACTTAAACACACAGTTAGTTTGGGCCGAATTTGAAAATTGAAACAAAAATTCAAAAGGTATGTATATCAAAGTCTGTCATTTTTTAAGTAAGGACACCAAACATTAAAATATGTAATTTGTATCTTCTTTAGACTGTTATCTCAACATAAAAGCAAGTTATTTGACTTTTCACTTGACCCTATGCTGTCACCAGCCCCTAACAGGAAACTAGTGCTTATAACTATATATTTGGTTGTGTTTTCTACATTTGGCTGTGTACCATTTAAAGTAGTTTGTATTTGTTTGTGGTTTCTTTGATTTTGTTCTGTTGTCTTGATCTAATTATGGTGTCTTGATTTGGTTGTAATGTCTTGATTTGGTTGTGGTGTCTTAATTTAGTTGTGGTGTCTTGATTTAGTTGTAATGTCTTGATTTGGTTGTGGTGTCTTGATTTGGTTGTGATGTCTTGATTTGGTGGTGTCTTGATTTAGTTGTGGTGTCTTGATTTAGTTGTGGTGTCTGATTTAGTTGTGGTGTCTTGATTTGGTTGTGATTTCTTGATTTAGTTGTGATGTCTTGATTTAGTTGTGGTGTCTTGATTTAGTTGTGGTGTCTTGATTTAGTTGTGATGTCTTGATTTAGTTATGGTGTCTTGATTTGGTTGTACTGTCTTGATTTGGTTGTGGTGTCTTGATTTGGTTGTGGGGTCTTGATTGATTTGGTTGTGATGTATTTATTGATTTGGTTGTGATGTTTTGATTTGGTTGTGGTGTCTTGATTTAGTTATGGTGTATTTATTGATTTGGTTGTGATGTCTTGATTTAGTTGTGATGTCTTGATTTGGTTGTGATGTCTTGATTTAGTTATGGTGTATTGATTGATTTGGTTGTGATGTCTTGATTTAGTTGTGATGTCTTGATTTGGTTGTGATGTCTTGATTTAGTTGTGATGTCTTGATTTGATTGTGATGTCTTGATTTAGTTGTGATGTCTTGATTTGATTGTGATGTCTTGATTTAGTTGTGATGTCTTGATTTGGTTGTGATGTCTTGATTTAGTTGTGATGTCTTGATTTGATTGTGATGTCTTGATTTAGTTATGGTTTATTGATTGATTTGGTTGTGATGTCTTGATTTAGTTGTGATGTCTTGATTTAGTTGTGATGTCTTGATTTGGTTGTGATGTCTTGATTTAGTTGTGATGTCTTGATTTGGTTGTGATGTCTTGATTTAGTTGTGATGTCTTGATTTGGTTGTGATGTCTTGATTTAGTTGTGATGTCTTGATTTGATTGTGGTGCCTTGATTTGTTTGTGATGTCTTGATATGGTTGTGTATCTTTGTTTGGTTGGTTGACTTTGTTGATGGTTTTTTTCTGCAGCAATTGTTTTCTTAAAGCTCTTTTGAGATAAGAGGTCGAACTTTGTTCCCAGGGGATGCTTAGTGTGACACAAAGGTTTTTAGTTGCAAGGTGTTAAGCTCTCAGGTTCACAGTCAAGTGGAAATCATCCTTTGTAATTAGCATTTAAAATCAGACGTCATTATATATAATGAGGTAAAATAAGTGTATAAAGAAGTTTCTTATAAACACGTTTGCATGATTATTATCCTAATTCACCTCACACACATTTAAGCCATCATAAGAATTGTTTTGTATCCCAGCTCCATTGGTTGCCTGATAAATCATTCAACAAAAATAGCTATTGTAGCCTTTTTTTTAAAACACTTTATCATACTTAGGGTATTATAAAAACTATCCCTTCATCCAGTGTATCCTCTGGAGTAACTAGGGTTCATCTTAAAAGCAGGAGATATGGTGACTACACACCATCTTTATATGACTGAAATACATTTAAAAAAAAAAAACTACAACAGGCTGTATGGCCGATATACAAATAAACTATATATAGTATATTTAATTTCTAAGAACTCAAGGTTATATATATCAATACTGTTTTTTAGTTCATTAATATTTCACAACTGATGGCAAGACAATGCTTTAATTTTTTAGAATGAAATAGAAACAATGTCATAGGTGACAATATTGTTGAAAGCAGTGGGTTGACTCTGAGTGTCATCATATAAATCATATGTAAGACAGAAAATATGAGACAAAATGTATTAGGAATAACTATAAAATGTTTAATTATATATATATTACAGAATACAATTATATTGTGTCTTGTTGTTAAGTCTTAATCTATTGTTTGTGGCCACCTCCTCCCACATACACATCCATTGTACCAGGTCGCCCTGAAATCCTGGCTGCACTAGTTTCCTGTTAGGGGCTGGTGACAGCATAGGGTCAAGTGAAAAGTCAAATAACTTGCTTTTATGTTGAGATAACAGTCTAAAGAAGATACAAATGACATATTTTAATGTTTGGTGTCCTTACTTAAAAAATGACAGACTTTGATATACATATCTTTTGAATTTTTGTTTCAATTTTCAATTTCCGCCTAAACTACATGTGTGTTTAAGTGTGAAAAATTCAAAAATTGAAAATGGTATTGATAAAAACTTTGCATAATTGAAACTTATAACTATCTGTGAACATCCTGTCCAAATTTGGTGAAATTCTGATTCTGATTCCCAGAGATACATGTGATAAGGCTTGAGCTGTCCCTTTTGGAGAAGCCCTAATTTGACCTATTTTCGTTTTTTGGTAAGATGCATAAAACATCCAAAAAAAGTTATTTTGCAGTAAAATATTTTTATACAACCATCCATTTCATAAACTAGACATGTTCAAGTTATGAAAAAATGTGGTTGTGCTTTGTTCTACCTCGGGTAGGGGCCTAAGTTCCTCTACTAGTAGTTTGCATCAGTGCAGAATAACCCGTGTATTTGCATATTGTTTTCTGGCTGTACAAAAGAATCAGTGGCGCTGATAAGATTTACAGACAAAACAAGTCAAGGAGAAGTATCCAGAACAGGTTATGCCATCACAGCAAAACATCAGTCTTCTAATCTTGAAAACTGGTCCAAACCAAAAAGCAGGTTCATTCAGTTTATGTTGTAGAAAAGTGCATTTGTTCTTCCAATAATCTGAGAGTCTGAAACTTCTCCTTCAGGAGCTACTGCCCTCAGTGGACAGAATGTCGTGAAATTCAGATTCTAACTGCCTCTGCATTTTCATCCACAACAAGTGCACAATAAATCCTGTCCCAATGTACATGTTTATCTCGGTGCATGTTGAGCCACAAGAAAACTTTTTTTTAAGATGGTTATTTGTCTAAAACTACAATAATTACAACTCTTCTTTACATTTCTATTAGGCTCGCAATATGAGCTTCAGCAATAAACACCAAGCAAAAGTCTGAAATTATTGTATTAAATTAAACAAGTGATTTTATTTCAAGAAGAAATGACTGCTCACTCAGTTTGGGCACATTCTAGCTGATTGATGCAGACCCAGGTATAACGGCCGTGCTTGAACACCATGTCGGTGCAGTCGGATGAAGCTTCAGCTAAATTTCAGAAACTCTCAGATTAATGGTGCCAATTTAGTGGTAAAAAAAACCCCAACTGCTTTCTGGTTTCAGGAGGGACAAGATATATTGCAATGTCATTTTCCCCAATATCACGCAGCCCTACACAAAAACCTGAAGTAAATTACAGCTATTACTTGAGAGAAATTACCTTTTATTTTGCAGTAAAATAAACTAGTGTAAAAAGGAGATAATGTTACCTCCTTCTTCCCTGTTTTGCAGGCAGGGGCGTTTTTGAGATATTTCTAGATGTGTTGAATTGCAACAGAATACAACACAAGCTATAAAGTCAAGAACAGTTGATTTTTAAGAACCTTAAAAAACTACATTTAAAGTGTAGGCCTGCCAACGGGGACGGGGAGCATAGCATTCTTGTTTTTAGTTATTGACCTCCGTGATATTACTATTTTACATGCAAACTAACTTTGTGCTCATCCACAGCTCTACACTTGCTGTCACTCCTGATTGTATACAGGCACTGTCTTACTAGTGTTGTATTACGCGCGGTGAGATAGCGTTTCAAATTGCTGTGAAACGCCAAGCCAAGTGTTACACGAGCAGTATGTCTGTCTGTGAATGTGTGTGGGTGGGGGAGCGAGTGAGGAGAGAGAGAGAGAGAGAACGAGGCGAGTGTGTGTGTTCGGCAAGTGTGTGGGAGTGGCACGTTATGATGCCGGGGACCGGAGCAGGATAAGAAATCAGAGTCATGATGTTAAGTGCATGTACAGTTCAAGTTCTGAGAGCGTAATAAACGGCCCGGTACCTCAAAATATCAAGCCGGACTCTCCGTGTCTGTTTACGCCTTGCTGCACCCCAGTGAAGTGACGGGGGTTAAGCCCCGAAGTTTGAGGACTAAAACTTCGGCCCTGGAGCAGACCAGTAAGTCTCCCCTGTGCGCCCTGACCACGGTCGGAACGCGAAGCATGAAGGTTAACACAAGGTCAGAGTCGACACGTTTTCCTGCAGCAGTACGAGTGTTTCAGACTCTTCAGGAAGTCTCCTTTGCGAGACATGAAAAGTAGAAAACTTCAGTTGAATAAAAAACAGACTTCGTGAGGCAGTAAAGAGGGCATAAGCAATGAAGTAATTTAAAAATGGTGCAGATCACACAACTTTACGCACGAATGTCAACGGTTGTAGCAAAAGGAAACAAATGTCCAGCTCATGCATGTCTGCGTAAACTTCAAAACACGAGGAAATGATGCTGGGAGCTTACCTGTGCATGGCGCAGATGTCCTGTGTGTGGCTCACTTTGCTCAGTCTGAGGTCTTGCTGCACATTGCAGTGTTGTGAGAGCAGCGCGGGGCGGAACGCAGCTTCGCAACAGGACAATATTGATCACCATCTGGCACATCATCTCCCCACCACTAACAGGCTGTTAAACAGAACTCGGTGAAACTTAGGTGTGTAATGTAGGGCGCGTCCTGTTCATTTAAGGTGTGTCTAATTTATCTCTGTTAATATTTAATGTTACTGTAGGCTAAGTGCTCACATTATTCTTCAGGGCTTCTTCTTGTTTCTCATCTGTTTTCATCTCACTGTGGGTGTGTTCCGTGGCATCTGTTAGCTGGGCTCTTTTTTTTTTTTTTTTTTTAAGTCCCATTATAAACTTTTGAGGAGAAAAAACAGCAACACTGAAAGACTGCATAAGAAAGCTGTTTGAATAATTATATTCAAAGAAATGAGATGATAGCATGTTTCAACTTAAAGTGTATAAATCACCTCCGTGAATGCATCACAGTAAACACCGTTTTAAATTATGCACGTTATTTTAATGCATAATCTGATGTCCATGCAGAGTGTGCAGGAGGGCTAGTGAAGATTTAGTATCACTTTGTGGCTATACTTTTCTTAGGGCCAGACTAATAAGTCACATCAATTGATGTAACATATCCCCCCCCCCCCCTTATTTGTACATCTGACTTGTTTTTATATCTCCATGCCTTCATTACTGTTCATCTCAGCTCCAGCTGGTGCAGAAACACAGCAGCACAAGATTTCACATGGTCAAAAAAGAGGGAGCACATCACTCCTATTCTTTCCTCCCTACACTGACTGCCTGCTAGCTGCAGAATTCATTTTGAAAACTTTGTTTGTCTACAAGGCACTAAATAGTTTACCCTCCTTCATATCACAGAACTCCTGTCCCCATAGGTCACTTCCAGAAATCTAAGATCATCTGACCTAAGATTTCTGTCTGTCCAGAGATCCACGTCCCAAGTGTTATGGGGACAGGACCCCCAAACTATAAAACTTGCTTCCCCCACTTTCATCCGATTCTCCCCCACTACTGACATCTGTCACTGTCATCTCCAAACACACCTTTACTCCTTACATAATTAAACCAGCACAGCCTTCTTTTCTGAAGTCTTTATTATTATTACTCCTCATTTTATTGAAATAACTCATATTTTATATCTTTTCATCACTCCTGATTTTTTTTTCTCTTTGTTTGTTTCATTCTTTTTGTTCTTGTCGTTTTGTGAATGTTTTAAAGCACTTTGGATCAACTGTGTTGTATATAAAGTGCTATATAAATAAAGTTGATGTGATTTTTTGCAGTCTTCTAATGTGTTTTTTGTAGTGGTTTTATTCAGTATCAGCCTTATTGTGAAACTCAGGGCTGATACAGATGTTTAAACTAGCACTTCAGCTGATTGCCCATGCCTTTGTTTTTTTCACAACTTCTTTTGGTGTAAGACTCCCACAGTGCCAACATTTTCTCTCATGTTTGACCACCAAGTCAGATCAGAGTTTGTCCCAACAGATGACATCCTCTGCCCAATAAAAACCTCTCCTTTAAATCAGAAGTTCAGTGTATTAGATGCCAACATTAAATTGACAGATAAACCTCGGCTACTGACATTGGTTCATGCCACATTATTTACAGGACGGTCCGATGTCTGTCAACAGGTCCGGTATGCATTCATTGGTGCATTCCTAATTATATTTCTGATTTTTATTCACTGTGCAGCACTTAACTTAGTTACATTTTTATGTACTTTTTAAATTGAGTGGATTGACTTGTTGATATAATTAAATTAATATTTTGTCATAATACTGGATTTCATGCAGTGACAAACACTGGTGTAGTTTTCTGACAGTAGATGGCAGTAGAGGCTGGTAAGAGCAACTTCAGTACAGGCAACAAGAAACCCATGAGAATAGGGTTTTACTTTCAAAAGTTATTTTCTGTGTTGTGTCAATTTCATGTTGATGACCAACCTGAAAAAAAACACACTTGGTGGTACATTGGTGCATTTTTCTTTATAAGGCCTTTCAACATGAGCTGCCGTCTATGGATACAAATCAGCGATTGGACGCGATTCAAACTAGTGAATACATGATATTGAAAATATAAAGAAAACAGGAAATACAATTTTTCAAAAAAGACATTTTTAAATGTTGTATTCATGTCCGATTTTATTCAGTGTTTACTTCCATATAAAAATAGGTAACAAAGCAGTCACAGAAAACTAAGCGGAAAATTGAGGCGACTTATACTGAAGCTGTTCTTCACTAACAAGCAATTTAATTATTTTTTTAAAACATATACATGTAAGCTGAAGAACATTACACATCTTATAAATGTGTTTCTCTCTATATATAATAAGTTTACCTAATCGTTTGGGCATCATGATATCTGATCGTGACACAGTGGGCAGAAGTTGTATTTGCTGACCTCCTGCTCTAGAGCGCAGTGTTTACATGTGCTGCACATCCAGAACTGGTACTCCTGAATCTGCAGACCTGTCACGATGCATGTGGGTAGTTTTCCCTCCGACCTAAAGAGAGGGAAAAAAGAATGAGTGTGGAATAATGTGATGAAAGCATACACGTCATGTTCCTGGTCCATGTCTCTACAGCTTTAAGCCTACTGTACCCTGACCATCTTTACTTCTTCAATCGTCCACATTTCTGGAAACACTTCCTTCTAACACCTTTAAATAATATGAAAGTGTGAAAGTCATTGGTGTTCTCACCCCTCTGATGACCTTTCCCGCTCCACTGGGCGGGTGTCCTTCGGGTTGTATTTGGTGAAGATCTCCAGAGCCAGATCCTCATAAGACTGCCGCTGGTCAGGGTCCAGACTCTCTAGGGACTCCAGCTTGATGAAAGCTTGCGAGCATGTACCGAAGGCCCGGTTAGTGGCGGTGCAAAGGGCAAGCAGAGAGTAGATCTCCACTGCTGGGATGATGTCCTCGTACTCGCGCAGGTGAAGGGCTTCAAATAAAAATGGAGGAAATCAGTAAAGAGTTGTGCACTCACTATGTTTTTTTTTTTTCCAATTGTAGGAAAATGCAAATCTAGAGTCTCAAGTCTGTGCAAAGTAAATTCTTACAGTCAGTATCATGTAGAATATGACAGTTCATTTTTACTTCTTCAATTTTGTATAAAGCCAGAGTGATCGGGAACATGAAGGTGCTGGTTTTGGATTCTATTTGTGGTTCTTATTTACTGTTTTGGAGCCGCGTTGGGCAATACCTAAATGATCTCCACAGAGACGTGTTGAAGAAGAACTCCTATTAGTCCCAATTAAAAGATGATATCAACATATTCTATATTATTATACTTTGTCATATTTATCAAACCAATGTTGATGTTTCAATATCAGAATAATGTCCACTTCATGTGTGGAGAGACAACCTCAAAAAAATAACCTCAGACAGTAACTGATGATATTTCCTTAATCATTTAGAGGATGAAACTACAAAGTAACCATGTTTAAGGAGAGTTTACAATATAAACTTAATTTTAGCAAATGATCTCAACTCCCAACTCTACATATCAATTATATTAATAATTATATATGGTGTAGTGTCACCATGTGATGTATTACCTGTGCGCATGGCCTTCTCCATGTAGCCTTCATAAAGCTGCCTCTGAGCCAGCAAAAAGAAATGATAGGCTTCTGCTCCGCGCCAGGCATTGTCGACGAAACGGTTATCTGGAGAGGTCGCATCTTCCTCGAGTAGCCCAGCAAGTGCAGACGTAGCCTATTGTAAAAAAAATAAAAAATGAAGATAAATATAGGCTAAAGTTTAAAAGTATTTGATACCTATATAAATATTTAGAATGCATTCTTGACTATTGCTATCTACAGGGAGTATAACAGTATGCTGCCATTTATTACCTCAGACTTCTTCCCCTTTGCTTTGCTCTGCTGTGATGTCTTCACCTGCTTGTGGTAATCCTCCACAAGAAGTGCTGCCAGCACAAAGAGCTTCTTCACACGCAGCGGTCGAGTTCTTTTCTCCGCCTCTGATTCAGCTATCTGTAACAGCGGACACAAGTCCCATGTGAGGAGCCCACAGAAACATGATCACATCACATCAAGTCTAAGGTCAAATGCTTAGTTGCTAAATGACACAAGAATAATGGCCTGTGGCGAGATCCTAGGTGTGATTTGCCTCTACTTTAATGATAAAACCGGTAAAAAGTGCCGATAGGTGTCACACTGAAAGTTAAAAATACAAACAATCACTAGTTCATTTCAGTTGTATTCGGTTTGTATATAAAAATAAAACACAACAGAAGCACACGTTTTTAAATGCAGTAACTTCAGAGTGATGAGCAAGAAGACAGGAGCTTACCTTGAACATGAGTTTAGCTGCATCAAGAAAGTGGTGAGCTTTTCGATACAGTTCCACCGCCTCTAAAATGTTATTCTTCTCAAGGAGATGTGAAGCGTATTTGGAAAGAAGAGATTTGATCTCCTTCATGTTGTGCGTTCTGGCAAGTTCCACCGCTTTGTTCCACTGTAAGAAAATGCCAACATTTATTCAAGAACAAGAACACTTCTTTCAAGAAACTCCTTAAAAGTTAGGTTTGTCAAATTAATCTAAAATAATCATACATGTCAGGGCGCTAGGCAATATGGACTTTCATTAAGCTTTCATTTTAAATCAGAATTTAGGGGTATCCCTGGTATTTTTTTAACTACATATGTGAGCCTCCTATGAGTTACAGGTGCAAAGTGTTTTGGAAATGCTTCAGGACAGAAGTTAGCATTAGCAGTCAGGCAGTGATAGCTGCAGTATTTCCACTAACTTTGCTGTGGCTTTGCAGCTCAATGTGTACAAATGTTATTCTAAGTCTCTGACACATTAAGCATTCCCTACAGAGTTATAATTTAATGGTTAAAAAGGCATCAAAACCGTTATTTTAAAAAGCTGTCATATTGATCCATTGACAAGAACCTGAATTTATTTCATAAAACAGGGGGGCTCCTTGGAACTGCCACCTAACTAGGTTTAATTCTTCAGTTATTCTGTGTTGTACACATATTGTGTTGGGTTTGAACAGTCATTTGAAGCATCAAAATCATAATAATAACACACAGAGTATCAGAACAGGGGTAGACTAACAACTCTCTTTTCCTGTAAGGTAAAATTAATGCTTTTATTTCTGCATTCTGGTGGCTTTGAAGAGAGCAATGTAACAGATGTTTATAGTTTAAAAAAAATAAAAAAATAAAATACTTTATTAAAATGATGTTTATCTCTGTAGGGAATCATTTCAAAAATGTCCTGAGATGCTTCAAATAACTGCCTCTATTGTATGCATTGTACTAACAGCTCATGCGATCTACTGGAGCGATTACAAAGATTGGATTCATTAAACAAATAGAACCAAAATATAAAAAATTCAGCATGGCTTTAAATGTACTGAATTTCCCTTTAACTGAAGTCACTTTTTGACTGCAAGTATTTAAAACCTCTTTGAAAAAATCACATGAAGCACAGCTAGATAACGTGACAATACACTGTAATTTTCAGACGTTCGAGGGATGAGCCACAATAGGACGGAGAGGAAACAGTTCAGTGACAGCCTGTTCATTTCAATGTCTAAAGCACAGCATTAACGCAGCAGGAGAAACTGCAGAGAAGAGAGGAAGGTCTGTCAGCTTCCTCTCTTTCCTCTCAGCTTCTCCTTTTGGAGTAACAACAGCGATCCTTGCACAATTTAAGAGAACATCGTTTGAACTACATCCAGCTGTTATTACATATCTTTTGCTCAGCTGCAGACTGCATAACTTGAACTCTAAGAGTGTAAACCCGAGCAAAATTCAAATGATCAACTACTCTTTTAGCCCATGGTTAAAATATTTACGTTGGAAGAATACAGTGTGAGAGCAGAATTCACACCCTCAGGCTAAATATCACTCAGGAAGAGGATGGGAGTGGGAGGACAGCGGGTGCCACAGTGGCTGTGTCAGAATGTGAGTTTAATCAAAAGATCACACAGTGTCACTGTGAGAGTGTGGCGCCGCAGGGCTTCTTGTCTGCCTCTCACCTGGTTCAGATGGACACAGGTGTCGACTGCAGCTTTGGGTTGGTTACACTTCAGGTAGGCGTTCACGGCCTGCTCGCACATGCCCACAGTGGCAAACATCTGTCCAATCTCCTGCAACACAGAGATGGAGATTAGTAACGTGGAGCTAAAACATTAAGCACAAAGATACTTCTGGTCAGAGCTGAACACCCGGCTCACCGGTAAAAGTTTATGATTCTCTGGCAGCCCAGCGGCCAGTTTTTCAAGGCCAGGGTAGTCCTCTAACATGTAGAAACACTCTGCCAGCCTCTCCTGATTGTGACCCTGATGGTAGTACTGCTCTGCGTTCACCCTTTAAACAGAAAATATTGATGGTTAAAACATCGTACGGAAACTGATTGTCCTGTAAACCCAAAAGAATAGTTTCACATTTTTCTTTCCATACAGTTTAGGAATTTACAGCATATCGTCTGAATTTAGAAAAACACTTAACATACTCTATGGTAAATTAGAATGTGTATTATTAGTTTGCTAAAGCTCTATGCCGCTTTAATTATGATTTCTTTCCACAGAACAGATAACTTATTAAACAACAAACAGACTTCTAGCACTCATGTGTTTCTGATACACTTAACAAGAGAAAGACAAGAGAAAGGACATTTCAGAACCATTTCTGTCTGTCAGCAAAGTAGTCTCCAATTGCATTGTACGCCTGGTCCTGCAGAGAATCATCACAGCCGCCAGAGCCAGATTTGAGCAGCTGGAGAACCCGAAACCAGTCTCCCAGCTTGATCCTGAGGCTGATGGCAAGGTCCCTAGAAGAAGAACAAAACATCCACCGGTGGCATAAGAAAAAAACACCAACATGAAAAACTGACCAAAAGCAAACAGGGGACTAAATTAATTATTAAAAAAGTATTTTGTAATGCCACCATCCAAAATGCCTACCTGCGATCCATATCCAGGTACATCCGCTCTGCTTCCTCAAAGCTGCCGAAGTAAGCTGCCACCTCCGCCTGTTTCATGGGCTCATTCTGCAGGTTTCCCAGGCGCTTTACAAACTCAATGCCCTGGTAGTCTTTGCAGCGGACGAATGCTTGCTCAGCTGTCTTTAGATCCAGTTTCTGTAGGGCTGCCTCAGCCAGCAGACGCCTGGCAGGGTCACAGTGAGAAGAAATGTTATGTTAGCTACTCCCACCAGTGGGGCTACATGTCATTCATGTTCATGCATATATTATTACACCCACTATAAAATGACTAATAGAGATTTAAACTGGAATATAGCTGTAGCAGGTGGATCACAAAGACATAATTAACGCTGCAAAGTCACTGCACATCAGTGTGAAAGTGGTGTTCACTATATGAATGTCTGTAATCAATCCATCTGTGTCAACTCAGTGATTTTGTGGCTACATTAGTATGAATTGAGTGCAATCCTCAAGTCAGATTGGAGCTGACTCATGAGACAGGAAGGCAACTTTTTGATGTTGCCAGATTTTGAGGGACGCTGCAAGAACTGACACAGCAGCCAGAGAACACACATAAGCTACTGTGATCACACTGCTGCTTTGAAAAAAACTGTAAATCTCTCAAATCTCTGCTCTCATCCTCCCACTTCAGCAGGGCTCGGGTATAAAAAATAATGTAGTGACAGCAGCTACAGGTTGGTGCAAAGCTGTTTTTTTAAATTTTATATCCAACACAAGACAACAAAGGGAATGTTGTTTAAAAAGTGATTATGTTACTTTGTGTCACTATAACTACAAAAATCAAATGAGTTGATACAATGTTAAAGTTTGTCCAAGAAGAGAATGTCTAAAAGAAGAGTTTGCATGTGACACCAAGGCCACAGAAAAACATTTACATAAACAAAGAACCTGTGGAGAAACAATTACATAACAATGCTAAGAAATTACAAGACATTTTCCAAACCCCCCAAAAACTACTGCTGCTACCAAATGACCACACATCTATACACAATTTAGAGAAGTCCATTTCACTTGGTGTTCTGTCTTCTTATGCAGGAGATGTCCAATAACCACAGCTCATTAATCCTTCAGGTCACAGCCACCTTTCCCTCTTTCAAACTTTGACTTTTTGCTTGATTCTTGACATGCAGTATGTAGAAAAGCTCCTGTTTCCAGTATATGATGTTTCTCTTTCTATCACTCAGTATACTTGTGATTACAACATCAATATTATATTTACCAGAGTCTTGGGTGTGGATTGTCTTCAATGAACTGTGAGGCATCTTCAATCCCCACTTTCTCAATCAGAGCACGGCTGTCTCTTAGGGAGCGGATCTCAAAGTTGATGAGGTTGTCTTTATTCGGCCTCTCTGGATCCTGCCCAGCGAGAGAATAATTACAGAATGTCTAATTAACTTAGCACTTACAAACTGCGCCTTTCAGCTTTTTTTTTTAAGTGAAACAAAGTTCAACTTGTAATAAAAGTCTCTCCTGATGCATGTTAACACTAAAGTGAAGTGAATTTGTGAGCCCTATTCTGACTGCCGTTTCAAGCCCCGATGTATTTAAGTCCTGAGAAATTTCAGCTTTAGTCTGAATGTCGCTGAGGTGTAATGGGGGGACGAAGTAAAACCCTCTCTTTAATGTCTTCTGTAGTAGTAACAGAGGCGAGCCAGCCGGGGGAACACAGCGCTGTGTGTGCGTGCATGCCTGACTGTGTGTGTATGGTGAGCTCCTGCTGCATCGTGCTTCCTCAAGGCAGAAACTTGAATTTACAGACTTGGAGAAGATTATTACACCGTCCCACAATCAATATGAATGTACAAAGACGTGGTGACAGCTCAGCTTAGTTAAGGCAGTCATGAAAAGCAGTCTGAAAACGGCTAATTACTAACTTGCTGGTACCATGTTAGAAAATAATTTACTTTTTGTACCTTCATGATTTCATCTAGCAGGACAGATTTGATTTCCAGGTCCTCAAAGTTGCAGATGTATCCAGATGTTTGAATTGGTTCCTGGTTTTAAGAGAACACAATACATTATAGACAACGGGACAATGTAGTTGACCACCACAAAATAAAAAACAGCTGAGCACTTACCTCTGGGTCCAGGTTCCTGAAAACATACATCCTTGTCTTCTCCATCATGGCAAACAGATCAGGATTGTCATTCGCCCATTTCATGTCCCACACATCCTTGCGTTCAAACTTGGATGGATCTCCCGCCGACGCCTGGCTTCCTGCGCCATCATCTGCGGAGGCACGAACCTCCAGGTCCAACAGAGTCAGGACGCCCGAGATGTCGATAACGGCCAGACGACTACAGAATATAATCATTTCACTTATGTAACAGTGCTGTGAATATAAGCTATACTCAATGTGAACAATGATTGAGCTGATCAACAACAGATCTCATCTGTAGAGCATATTTGATCTGCGTCACACCCAAATAAAAAAATGCTTGCCTGGAGTTGCAGTTTAAGGACAGATAGTAGGCCCTGTTGTTCAACGTGTATTTGTTGATGAGAACCACATTTGGGAGGCTGTATCTGTGGACGGTGCCAGACTCACGGCCCTGCAAACATACAACCAAACACTCAAAGACTTTGACTTTCAATATTGAAATATAAAGTGCAAACAGGGATGCACTTACCACAATCAGAGTCTTATCTGTTGCTGTAATACAACAAATGGGATCTCTAGTTGCCTGAAAAAGAACAGAAACATACATGGGACCCCATACAGTTAATCTGTAGTGAATAAAAACTTTATTTTCATTGACTGTTTTTCTCTGTGAGCTACTTACTCAAATTCAATCATAACTCATATTATTGTATGCATATGTTGTTAATTGGATCCTTTCAGTATATTCAGATTATATCTCAAACATCTGTACAACTCACTCTGTATCCATTAAGTTATGTTCATTCTGCTCCAGGGTGAAGTGTATTAATTTTAGTTTAATCTAAACATGAATCTGCAAACAGCAGCTTCCCCCAGTCACCTGCTTGACTTCATCAAATTCAAAACCTCAACAAAAGTAATCTAATGACATCATCAACAAATCAATAACTTGGTGTAAATGAAGACCAAATCATTAGCCTTTAACCTCAAAAAGACAGAATGCTTTACTTATTGAGTTGTTTAAATCATAGATCAGTGTTTGCAGAGTTACAGGGGGGTCTCCAGACTTGTTTTTAAACTGAGGTGGCCCACCTGGTGCACTGATTTATGCAGGGGTGGCATTACGTTTGTGGGCACATGCATGCAAATCAATTACATTTTTGTACCCTTTCTATCCCCACATACGATTTGTACTTGTAAGTAACATAATTTGGAAACATATAAATCTTCTTTGCTTGATTCTTTACGGACTCAAAAACAAAGATGTATGTGCAAAGTCACAATTTTAAGTACACGGAAAATTGCATGCAAACTCTTGTACACTGTCTTACTTTCAAAAATACATTAATTGACATTGAAGTCGATTGCAAGTTTGACAGTGTGCACAAGTTTTTACTTGGATTTTTTTATAGCGATAGAAAAGTATTTATAAACAACTGAAAGTATGACAATTAGCCTGTTGAAAACAGTCAGAAGGGTTCATTTGTATTTATGTCCCCCGCTTCTAAAAAGCCAATCATAGCTTTGAATTTGGGGTGACACCTGGTGTGGCCAATCAGATTCCAAGAGGGCCCATGCCACCACCGGCCACAGATAAGCACACGCCCCTGCAGGGTTATGCAAACAGAAATCTTGAGTGGCCATTTGATAAATTTAAAAGAGAAAAGGCAACATTAAAAAGGTGGGACTTCAACTTGCTTTTTCTAATAACATAGGACAAAACTAGTATCAAGTCCAAATATGATGGAATTAACTCTTAAATAATGCCCAAGTTTTACGATAAAATGATTCAGAGGTTTTCTCAGAGAGCTAAGTTTGTGATACAAACGGTTTCTTATCCTTGTAAAGTCGTGTAACTTCAGAGGAACAAAATGTCTCTTACTGTGAAGGCTTTTGTAAAATCTGGACCACTGTCACTGGCTCCAGAAGGATTGATGTCAATGTGATAAACCCTGGAAAGGAAGTGAGAATAAATGAGGGACAGCCAGACAGACAAACAGTTGTCCTTTACCCTGAGGTGAACTGTGGTCCAGGTGCTAGGATAGTCCTGGCAGGACATTTGGCCTTGCCCAGCCTGTCTAGCGCCTCAGTGGCATTTGGATAAGATGAACAAATCTTTTTCATAGCACTGAGAGTACCAACACCCTCCACTGGAGCAGCGAGCCAGTAAACCCAAGGACTCTCTGAATCCAGCCTTGTGGTTATCTTGCCTCCATGTAAATTTCCATGGTCAGCTCTGATTTGGGTGTTTCATTTTTTCCCCTGTCCACTACCTGTTTTTTTATTTTTTTATTTGAGTCCTTGTGACATCCAGTTTAAAGAAGCTCCAGTTACTGTAAATGTGTGTTTGTGTTTTTGAATTTCAAAGACAAACTCACCTCTCTCTTCCCTCCTTCTTAGTTCGGGTCACTTGGTTGATCTCCAGAGCAGTCAACTTTTTTGCCACTCTGTACTGCCACAGGTAGAACGCCTCTTTAGATGCAGCAATCACATGGGTTTTGGTCATGGTGACAAACAGTGGATCTGACAAAGTAGAGAAGCAACCGGATCATTATGTTGTACGTGACCAACTCAATCAACTGCATACATGTCTCGTTTTATTGTCCTGGTTCGGTTTTACTGAAAGATACTCAGTGAGGGGTCAGCTGTTATTTCATACAGTAAGTAACATATGTTTAGTACAAAGCCTGTTTGGCTAGCCGAATTAGCATCCCAATTGATATCACAGAATTAGTGTAGTCTGCGTGAACCCTTAAAATAAATCAGCGATAGCAGTAGCTAATAACTTACTCTCACTACTCGAAATATGGTCACTGCAAGCTCCTTAAAACCAAAATGGCGACTGAGTGCTGTACTTGGTGCTTCAAAACAGCAAGCGACAAACCAAAGGGCACTTTTACTAAACTTAAATACATGAAAACAGAGTATTCAGATACACTAGCCTGCAAAAAAGCCTAATGAGGCCACAAGAGACTCACTCTAACTCTCTCTCTCTTTTTATTATTTACCTAGATGAGATACTTGAAGCACAACCAGCCCACTGAGGCTTTCACTTCTGACTTAGAAATGATCTGCTCCTCAGTGAACATTTGACCCTGTCAAGAAGACACAGAACGCTGAATAGCTGTGAGATATTAAGACCTGTTCAGTGTCTGTTTGCTGTTGGATGCTGTGGGCCAATGAAAGATGTCCTTGTTGTTAACAGGTTGCAAAACGCAAACTAGGACTTTGATCAACCTACAGCTACATTGTTACCAATATAACAACCAAGTTCAGAGGTTGTAGTCCTTAAAGCGGGCGGCCCAGGTTGTGGATCTGACGTGGGGCTCCTTTCCTACATGTCACTCCCCTCTTTCTCTGACCCTGATTTCTGACTCTATATCAGCTATCCTGTCTCTACAATAAAGGTATAAAAAGCTGTGTATGCACACTGTGAGAAAGCTTGCAGGCAGCATAGATTGTTTAGTATATACTAAAATCTCAAATACATTTTTTAAGAATCTAAATCAATGGAAATCACAAGAATAATATGTATGTATTTATTTCTTCACACTATATAAACTTACCGATGTCGATGTACTTTGAGTCCAGTGGAGTGCCAATAGAGTTGCACAGTATCAGGACATACTGTTGAACACAAAAAAAGTGCATAATTTTTCCAAAGGTCAGTTTACAATTTTTTACAAAAACAAATACTCATCGTTTTGAGTTTGTGGTTTTACTTTGTATATTACCCTTGCAGGACTTGCAGACTCTAACTCAGCATCCTCCTGTAAGGTAAGGTGATCAGAAAATTGACTGAGATCTTTAATCAATAACGCTGACTATGTATCTTCTATCTTGTATATATTTGATCAAGCCACTATTATATACAGTATATATCGTTTACCATTGTAGGCAGGAGTCAGATTATAGCTTGTACCTGAGGCTGGGTGTCATCTGCTTTGCTAGCTAGGATGCAGAAATCCCCCGAGGTCGTGATGGACATCAAGCTCTTGACATATTTGACAAACTTCTCATTGTTTTTGGTGTCCCAGAAAACCACACAGTACTCCTGTCGCTCTGGCTTTGTGTAGGCGTACACCACGGTGCTGCAGCAATACCCCCACTGTTCAAAGAGACATAAAGGAACAAGTGAGGTTCACATCTTTAGTATGAACTCTAAATCAAAGAAGTATGGCTTCATTCAAACAAAGAACTCAACAAATATGTTTTTTTCTTTTGAGCCAAAGTGAAATAACGGCTTCCTCAAAGTATTCATGTTATTGTAAATACATAGGAAATATTTATTGATTTATAGGCACTGGAAATGTGTCATTTATTTCAGTGTTTTATAGACATTTGAAACTGCATTGGAAACTATCATTGTTAAATCTTGATGCTGAGGGATACTGAGAGGAATGGTAAATGGAAAATGAACTGGAGCTTGTTTAGTTATTTTCTAGTCTTCTGACTACTCAAAGTGCTTTTACACCGCAGGTCACACCTACACATTCACACACTGATGACAGAGGCTGCTATGTAAAGTGTCCATCAGTATTAATTAATCAGGCAGGGGGAGCAACTTGGGGTTTAGTGTCTAGCCCAAGGACACCAAGTACACATCCACATGTGGCTGCAGGAGCTGGGGATCGTTTGCTTTCACACATGATGCAGCTCAATCTGAGTATTTTGGGAAATCTTAAGGAGTTTTGTGCATGTGTGAAAATACCATCTTTCAACGGTTGTTTAAAACGAAGCAACAAGTGTTGATATTTACCTTATAGTCTGGTCTTATGTTGGCAAAGTAGATGAATGAGTCTACAGCCAGACCAATACGTAGCCCTCCTCCCTCCCAGGCAACTCCTGTCATCTGCTTCCCGAGAACTTTGAGGGTTCTCAGATGCTGATTGAAAACAAAAAGTGTCTCATGTAAAAAAATGTGGGTTGGCTCTCAGGACTCAATGCAATGCTTTTTTTAATTGTGCAAAAATGTAGAATGGCACAGCAACACAATCTCCACCCTTACCTCTCCAAATGGTGTGTAGAACTGCACAGCATTATATTCTTTATCCATATTTGAGGCTCTGAGGGATCCCGCCACTGCCAGAACACTGCCACAATGATTCCACTGGATGCTGACCACATTCATCTGAGTGTCAAAACACACTGGGTCTGAAGGAAAGCACAGCCATTGGTAAATATCTCATTGAAGTGTTACCTGGAGAAAATACTGAAGACTTTGAATTCTTCCCCCCCTTACTTTCATCATTCTCATAGCGCATGATCTGACATCTTCCATTGTCGAAACAGATAGCCAGACACGGACAGTCGGGTTCAACGTAACCCCCACTTCCTGCGTACCAGTGGATACCTGCGATACTGACAGCTCCCGTCGCATTGGTGAGACAGCTGATGGACATTTTCATCTAAGACACAACAGGGATGATACAAAGACAGCAAATGCTTACATGTCACCAGTTCAAGTGAGAAAATAGAATATATTAAAAGTTGTATAAGCAGCCTTTTTAACTTCCCACTCCAAACATGCATTTTCTACCACAGTGCCTTTTTGTATTTCACTAAAAGTCGATAGGAAAAGGCAGGAATTTTTCAAGTCGTATGGTTAAGGGCTTACTTTTCTGAATCCACTTTTATTTCTGGATCACTAATGGGATAATCGTCCATGTAAAGCTTTACTAAAGGTTTCCCTGAAAGCCTTCGACTTCAAATCAAATCTGCATTATTTATTTATAAAACTTTATACTATGAGTCAAGAAGCTGTATGCTTCTGTAGCTGGACTATCATTTTTATTTACCGTTCAGCCTTTGCACTCACTATAAAGTTTCCTTGGTTGTCATAGATTTGGACTTCCCCATTGGCCATGCCGAAGAGAAGGATCTTGCTGTCTGGCGACCACGCCACATGAGCGAGCTGATTTCCCTTTAGCTCCTTTCCCCAAATCCGGTTTCCTAAAAAAACAAAAAAAAACGCATTAATCTTTCTGTACGCGTTCGTACTCATTCCCTGTGTATGTGAACAAAGCGATCCTTGATAATGGAGCATTAGTTAGTTTATTCTAAATCTGGTCTGAAAAATATATTGTGATTAATTGCCATTTATTAGATTTTTACTAATCACAGTATAAATCTGTTTATACCGTCAACAGATCCTACGATGACTGCTCCATCTTCATACACTATGCAGATCTTCTGACCATCAGCGTTCCAACTCATGCTTCTCACAACGGACTTGTTCCGGTTGTTGATCATCTCCTCGTACCATGCACCTTCAGGACGGGGGGAAACAATCACAACCTTAAAAGCCAAGTTTACCACAGGGCAACTTGTATAGTAAGAAGCAGAAATCACCTTTGTAGAGCATCCATACAATGATGAGTCCGTTCTGGTCGCTGGTTGTCAGCTTTTCATACTGTTCATTCCAGGTGACCACCTGCACTGCTCCTGCATGTGTTGTAAGAATGAAGTGTCAGATCATTTTCCTGTTTTTATCAATCTTAAAAGCATGTCTAACGTGTGCATTAATAATATCCATGAAAACTGCTGCAAGTCACTTACCACTGTGCCCCTCTAGAGTCTGGTTCATCGACAGATTACTGGGTGCAGCAAGGCCTTTAAGTTTGGCATCATCTTACAACAGAGAAGTAAAAAAGTAAAAGAGATCATTTTTAAAACTTCAACAATGTTTAAGTTAAAACCTTTAAGTTAAAACATGCAAGAGTGTATGAGACAGTGTATCCTCTGTACTCACCTGTCTGAGTTTCAAGTTTGAGCACTTTGAGGAGGCCATCGTCTCCACCACAGGCAATGAAGCCTTGATCTTTGTTCCAGGAGACACATTTCAGATGGACATTGTTGGGGATAGCAATCTATAAGACAAGAAGACTGTTAACCCACGCTGTACGTCTGAAGAGATGTACCTGAGGGTGTCAGGCACTTACCTTCTTGCTGAGGTAGATATACATCCTGATTACAGACTTCTAACGATCCGAAATGAACTGCTTATAGCGTTGTCATATTTGTTGACACCAGGAGACATAAACCTTAAGTGATATGTAGAGTAAGCTAACTTTTTAGCCTGTACCGTTAGCTTAGCTAGTTATCTACCAAACACGACACGGCAACCAAATAACGAGGACAGTTATAGTTTAATGTAACCTTGTACAATAAAATGCCGACTATAATGATGGTTTACATTGTTAGCAAAAAGAAAACCTGTTTAAATGTAACGTTTATGGTAGACTGCAGCTCGCATAAGCTTCCCTTCGTCTCCCCTGGTAACCGTGAAACGGAAGTGTGTGCTTCGGGGGGTTTCTGGGAGTTGTAGTTTTTTGTCTTACTCGCTTGCATGATGAGACCATGTGTATGAGGGAAAATGACTAAAGGATGCATACAATAATGTATAATAATAATGTAACAATAAATAAATATATGAATATATTGAACATATTTATTTATATATTAATTTGCATATGAATTGTTGCATTTATATATATATATATATATATTTATTGATGCATTTATTTATTTATTTATACATTATTGTATGCATTTCTCCCAACATTTATTTATTTATACTTTAGTCATTTTTTGTCCCTCATACATGTGGGAGTATTTGAGATGAAGCAAACACTGTTTTATTTAGCTGCTTAGGGTTTTCATTCAAAAAACTTAAAAAAAGAACAAAACTAAGACAAAAAAAAGCATTCTGACAAAATGTTGCATTTAATCATGATGGCAGCCAAATAAAGTGATAACAATGAAGGTGTCATAGTCATTCTCAGAACTGATTTATTACTGAGGTGTTTTAAAGGTGGCCCACAAACCACATTTGAAAATGCATCAAATACACAATACAAGATAACCAATACAAGGTTTGTGTATGAATAATTGTTTCACAATATCTTAAGGTGCTTTACTATGCGATTATTAAAAAAGAATAATACAAAGACTAGTTGTTTTTTAATCACAAAAGCACCAATAAATGTCTGTTCATCTGTGGTTCCATGGTAATGATAAGTACAAAATACAGTACATGCATGTGTAGAATGAAACTCTGAACAACAGTTTTGATGAGTCACAAAAAAACTGAGTGGATATTAACTCACAATCTTATGGTTTGAAAGGGAGCATTGAAAAAGTCCTAAATGGCTACAAACAAGCAATTGTTGTTGTTGTTTTTTCCCCCTTAAACAATTGTACCAGTCTGTTACAAACAATTATTGCCGTGCAATGAAGTTATTGAAATACTTCAGATATCACAGGAGAGGATTGCAATAATACACTGTGATGTAACAGCTATGGGGCCAAGTGGATCAGGCTCTTTTTTTGGGGGATCTTTTCTCTGTGTAATAAAGCTGCAACCAGAAGGGTAACAACAATGCTCCTGTTGTTGAAAGAGATTAGTTAATTGTGCCACGGTCACGGACGAAGGCTTTTTGTTCTACAAAGCACCATCACCAACCAAGAAATGCTGTCAGAGCACTGAAAACACAACAAGGATGTGTTGTCAACACGTTCCCGCTATAATCATTCATACTTTTGATATGTTTAACAATCTTACAAAGTACTCCCCTATTTTTTCTATAAATTCCCTAAGGTTTATCTTGTAAATTAATTGATTTACACTTTTGGATATAATGAAGCCTTTATTACAAATATACAGAAGTATTTTAACATTATACACCAGTTACACCATACTTTACTGTAAGAAGTCCGATAACTGGTAAATGCACATTTATAATACAAAACCATAATGTTTACAGTACATTGCATCAGAAAGCAATAGCCTGCTATGCAGACCAAATGGACAGAGCTAGACAGATGCCTTCCCGTTGTCAAACTGTTGGGTAGTCCAGAACATGTCTTTTATCATCTTGCTTCCTAATACTGCTGCTGGCCCTCCATGAAGTTCACTTTTTGTAAAAGTTCATCAAGTGAAAAAACAGTCAAGGAAATTGAGTTATGTTTTCCAGTTCATCATGACACATTCATAACAACACTACAGCTCAACACAATCAAACTTCAGATTCAATGTTCTGTCATTTAAAACACAAATTAAACTAAGATTTTATAACAGTTTCCCAATCAAGAGCAAAAATATTTGAGTTCAAACTGAGACCTTCGCTTATAGCCCATGGAACAAAAAGGATATGTTTTCTGCTCAGCTCCTGAATCGTTGACTGAACTTTCTTCTGGAACAACATCTGAGCTTCACACATGCAGGCATCTTCGGTTATTTCACTCCGCATTTCCTCTGAACGAATGAGAAAAATATAAAGGGAGAGGGTCAAGGAATTTTAGTGAAAGTTTAGAATAGCTTCTTGAAAATGCACATTGCCAATCCTTAGGTTTCCTTTTTGGACCATTGGTCACTTTGAGAGCCCCAGGGAGTTGATGTCGACCTTCAATATGAAAAACATTTAAGAGTTGATAATATATTGTTAATACATAAAGATAAGGGTTATTCATTGATCAATTAGGGACAAACATGATTTATGTTTCATTTTCATTTGTGATTGAGTTAAGAAACTGGGTTAGACATGTTTCAATCACTTCAGCTTGGAGCTTAGTTACAGAGGTCACATTTGGATAGCTTCACCGAGCACATTGTTTGGGTAATATACTCACTTGTGCATTACATGCCAATTCCCTGGAAAAGATACAATCACAACAGATAAAAGGCAAATCAATTACAACAATTTACTATGGGCTGTTGCAGGGGTTCCCAAACTTTTCAGCCTGCAACCCCAAATTTAACGGTGCTAGAGACTGAGGACCCCCATTGTTAAAACATTTAACGTTGCGCAAAGCCACATACACTATCAGGTCTATCCAAACACTGGCATTAGAACACCACACAATAGCCCAAACACCATCGTATTATTTTTGTAATTTATTGTAAGAAACACATTTTTCTATTTATTTTCCCAATAATGGGTTTAATATGCAATTTTAAACCATCTTTAATTTGACATGTTTTTGGAAGAAATCTCACGATCCCCCATGGGGTCCCGACCCCCACTTTGGGAACCCCTCAGCTATTGGACCAAAGTTCTTGTCTGGCTTACACCACAACTTCCTTTGCTAAGAAGTCTCTCATTCACCCAGCAGAGCAGCACCCATTTATGTCCCATGAACTCTTTTACCTGAAATTCCTGTACAAGCCAAAAGATCAACAAAGCATATACATCTTCGATTTATCTTTTCAGCATGACATATATACCACTGTGAACAACACAGAGGCTTTGCAGATCAGCTTTCATTAAAAAGTTCAAACTCCTTAATTGACAGGCTATAGTACCACTCAAAGAAGGAACATGACCAAGCCTTTACGCTCTTTCAGAGGACAAAACAAACAACGAGCAAATACCAAAGTTGTAGGTCCTACTTGAAAAACAGCCATCTCACCTTCAATCGGCTTGGAAGCATTGAGATGGTTTGGAAAGGTTCTTGTTAAGTCAAGCATGTGGACACACCCATCTTTGGTAACACATTTCCAAATATTATAAGGGAAATAGTTTTCAAAGAGCACCTGGCCAGCTGTTGGAACCTGGTTGCCTATAGATCCTTTGAGGACTCATAAATATTATGCCAATATATGCCACAATTATTGGTCATCCATGCCAGTCTGACTGAGCCCAAATAAAAGGTCTCCCACTCACAAGACAGCATGGTGTTTGAGGGTTGGGTGACAAATCCTAGTCTAGAACAGTACACAAACCATTGAAACCTCTTTCAGGATTTAAGTAAAAAAAGATAGATTTGAAGATATATGTTGGAAAAATCCAGATGCTTACGTGAGCATGTTTTGTGGTCTGCATTCAACACATATCCCACTCGACACTTGCAGTTGTACGAGTCGCCATTGTTGATACAATCGTGTTGGCAGTCATGTCCCTGAGCACATGCATCTGAACCTGGAGAGAGACACTCACAACTGACTTTGTGTAATTCATTCAAGGGCAAGAAGATACTGGTTATCATATATGCTATTAAGTGAATCCCTTAAAATATTAATGGATTCCCTTTAAAAGGATAAAGCAGGCTTTAGCAGGTCTGAAAGCTGTACCAATCATTACTTGACCAGAAGAACTTTCTTACGTGAGCACGTTTTCCGGTCCATGTTCAGCATGTATCCCACTCGACACTTGCAGACATAGGAGTTCCCATTGTTGACACAAATGTGCTGGCAGTCATGTCCCTGGGCACATGCATCCAAACCTAAACCTGTAAAGAAAAACTCACACATTACTACTTTATCTGATGACATCTAAAATGTCTATATGTGGCTTTTGGCAGAGCCTTCAGTTACAGTTCCCTTTGGAGAAGCTGATATGTCAGCTTTGCGACTGAAGATCTCCCGTCTCTGTATCCCCTTTATCTTTAGGCATTCCTCAAAAATGGACAAAGACATCATTCACAGGACCTCTAGTGTGTCCATAAGATTACCTGACTCACCATCTCCAACTCTCTAGTTGGAGCTTTTGGTGCTTTTACAGGACATCCTGAAACTCCAACAAGGTGCTTTGTGAAATATTCAAGGGGCTGGATCAAACCATGGAACTCAAACATGCAAATTGAAACTCATAAAAAGCTTACGTGAGCATGTTTTCTGGTCTGCATTCATTACATATTCTTCATGACATTTGCAGCTATAAGAGTTCCCGTTGATGATACAAATGTGCTGGCAGTCATGTCCCTGGGCACATGCATCCAACCCTAAACCTGAAAAAGGAAAGCTCACACCTCAATGACATAGTCTTATGGGGGGGAATCATGTCTAAAGAGGCCCATGTCCAAGCCCTATAACCAAAACATTAAAACATTTCCAGTTTCTATATCTCCTGCAGACCTCGAAAATAGAAAATATTCAGAAATTCTTGTGGACTTACTTTCCTAAAATCTCTTACCTTCCAGTTCTTACTAAAAATCTTTGATGTGCCATCTTTTGTAACTTTGAACGTAAATGCTTTGTAGATTTTCTGAGGGGCCAAATAACACCAAGGACACCAAACATGTACGTTTATGGAGATCAAGTGCTTACGTGAGCATGTTTTCTGGTCTGCATTCAATACATATCCTTCATGACACTTGCAGACATAGGAGTTCCCATTGTTGACACAAATGTGCTGGCAGTTATGTCCCTGGGCACATGCCTCCAAACTTAAACCTGAAAAAGGAAAGCTCACACCTTAATAGCTTTTTCTTATGACATCTCGTGAATTTTCAAATGGCCTTTTTGGAGCACCACAGGTTACCCTTCCCTAAAAGATGAACATGCCTAAGCCTTGTGACTACATAATTTTCCTCTGGCAGAGCCCTACTGGCTGTTCTCTACTCAAGATATTCTTTTATAAAAATGCTTTTACTCTGTGATTTTAGTAATTGTTATTTTTATTTTATTAGTCTGATTTTCTTGTCTGCTTGTTTACGCTCTGCCTGTTGCTTTAATTGTCTCTCTGCTTTTATTTTCTGTTGTAAAGCACTTTGTTACTTGTATAGAAAAGTGCTATACAAATAAAGTATTATTATTAAGTATTATTATTTTAAAATGTCACATTTTTGAGCTTATGGTACTTTTTTGAACCATCCTTTGAAAGTCCAAATGTACCATTTTTTTAAATATTAAGGGCTCGGTCACACTATGGAACTCAAACATGCAAATTGAAACTTACGTGAGCATGTTTTCTGGTCTGCATTCATTACATATCCTTCATGACATTTGCAGATATAAGAGTTCCCGTTGTTGATACAAATGTGCTGGCAGTCATGTCCCTGGGCACATGCATCTGAAACTAAACCTGAAAAAGGAAAGCTCACACCTCAATGACATTGAGAATAAAATTAATATGGCTTTTTGGAGCACCTTTGGTAACAGCATGTTTGTACAGGACTAACTGCCCCACCATCTCTTAATCTCCAGCTAAATCGTACGGGGCTTTTATGAGCCATCCTCTGAAACTCCAAATGTTATAATCTGTGGGATCACACCATCAAAACAAAACAATGCAAATCGAAAACAAATGAGCTGCTTACGTGAGCATGTTTTCTGGTCGGCATTCAATACATATCCCTCATGACACATGCAGAGGTCAGTGTTGTTATCTCTAACACATATTTGCTGGCAGTCATGTCCCTGGGTACATGTATCCAGACCTGGAAAGAAAACACTTTCACAGCTAACTTCTATGAAACACAACCAGTTGATTAATTTCTGCGTTTTGTGAAGGATTAGAAGGTCCATTGAAAACAACTCAATGTGCATTAACTCAATCCCTAATTCTGCATCTCTTGAACAACCTAAGTCAGTTGACTCATGTTATTACCCATACGCACAGCATTAAAGCACACAAGAACGTCCAGTTTTATACAAAAACCTTTTATCTAGTTTGTAATCAACATAATGCACTTGACCTTTTCAATTGCAGACTATGTAAGAGCTGTTTAAGTGAACCCTATCTTCTCATCAATATTTTTAACACTAAAACTGCATCCTACCATTTTTCAATTCCTCATCCTCCTTGAAGTTGCTTTTTTGTAACCATAATAAAGTAATATTGGAATATGATGCAACGCTTGATACGTATTTTAATATGCAAATATGAACATGCATATCAAAATAGAGTTAAGAAGTTCTTACGTGAGCATGTTTTCTGGTCTTCATTTAACATATATCCCTCATGACACATGCAGAAGTAAGAATTGGCATTTTGGACACAGACATGTTGGCAGTCAAGTCCCTGGGCACACAAATCTGAAACTGAAAGGAGACACTTCCAAAGCTAGCATCCATATACAACTTCCTTAGTAAATCTTATTAATGTCTACAATTGTTATAAAATGTTTTTTCCCTGTTGTATTTAACAGGGGTGTACAACTATAGCTCAGACATTGATACAAAACCAAATGATTAAGTACCAGTTCTTACGTGAGCAAGTTTTCTGGTCTGCGTCTAACACATATCCCGCTCGACATTTGCAGATGTACGAGTCATCAGTGCTGACACAAATATGTTGGCAGTCATGTCCCTGGGCACATGTATCTGAACCTGAAAAGACACACCCACACTTGTTGATAACTGAGTTATAGCCAACCCTGCTTTGGACCTGTATACAGGAGTTTATCTGATCATTATCTAATTTTCTCAACACAGAAGCATCCGTTACTTTAAAAAGACAAAAGGACTTTAAAAATACTGGAACATCTATTTCACTAAGTTAGTACTTTATATTTATTTATATTTAAACTTCAACTCCATGCACAATTGTTGTTGTTGTAGTTTTTTGAATGCACATCTTTTGCACATTGTCTTTGTACTTTTGTATATCTTTATTATTTTTATATCCTTTATATTTTTTTTCTATACTTTTACAGCTTGCACCATGGTTCAGGGGAGAAACGTTTTTTTTTTCTGTATGGCAAAAATTGACAATAAAGAAATCTTAGCATTTAATTTCCAGACACATAATTTCTCTTTACACTTATTATAAACAACATTAACCTTACAAATCCAGATCAGTATCTTATTTCTTGATAGAACTTTATATGGACTTGTCAGGTGAGTGAGGCTTTTAATAAGTATAATGAAATATTTTTGACAAGAAGTTAGATGAACAAATTTGCTAAGATGTGAGATTTTCTTTAGCATGTGAAGCTTTGAACTTGGGCATGTCGTGGTCTCAATTAATGTGGTCTTGACAACAACGCTAAAGGAGACCAGGGATCCATCATTATAAAGGTCCTAATAACATCCAGAGGAGGTGCCAAAGAGGAGTGCTCTGCCATCTGATGCTGTGCAAAATCAATCTTTGTACAGCCGAAAACAGCAATACTTCTAATCCCCCTGAGAATATGATCTCTCTAAATAAAATGCATGACGGATACCACAGCAACAGAAAAAACACAGCAACCTGAAATGCATATAGAGAGAGATAAAAGGTTCTTACGTGAACACGATTTCTGGTCTGCATTCAACACATATCCTTCACGACACTTGCAAAAGTAGGAATCATCATTTGTGACACAAATATGCTGGCAGTCATGTCCCTGGTCACATGTCTCAAACCCTGAAAAGAGATACTTCCACAGCTAATATTCACACCATCACACAGATTTATATTAACTGATCAAATACTTAAAAGTCTTATTCTGTCTTTAACCAAGCAAGTCAATGAATATGTTCTTGACTACTCAGTGGGATTGCACTAAGATCCTCAAATCACAAGGTCAGAATTCTTACTTGAACAGGTTTTTTGGTCTGCATTTAACTTATATCCCAGCCCACACTTGCAGATGTATGAGTCAGCATTGTTAGCACAAATCTGCTGGCAATCATGGCCCCTGGCACACGGCTCAGATCCTGAAAACAGACATGTCTGCATGTTACTGGCATTTCATGACACCAACTGACGAGTCTAAAGCAACTTTGTATTTAAGTTTACAACTTTGCAATCCTATTTCTGAATTGGCCATCTCCAACTTTTATTAAGCTTGGAGTTGAGGGAGGAGACATTAAAGAGTCAGATGCTATCTGAATTCTTTTATATAGTTTCCAGTAGGTTGTGAAATTGCATTTTAGCAAATCGATTTGCTCTTTTATTCTCTCTGACATGACATTTCTACTTGCAAACAAACAACCTCAGCCTGGTCAAATCTGTTTGGTCAGAACTTTTTGAATTACAAATGGAAACCAGATTGTCTCGAATGCCATAAATCTTGTCCCTCATCTAAGGATTTGTCGCTTTGGATTCTTCACTTTGGATAAAAGCGTCTGCTAAGTGAATTGCAGAATTGTAGGATTCTTTTCAGATTTATAAAGACAGAAACCAATACTCCTTCAAAGATGGAAACCTGAAGAAACTACACCAAAAAGTGAACATGAAATCCATTTCTTACAAATGTAGATGAGCAAATCACAATTCCTACTCAGATATGCTGCCAGTACACCACTTTACACCAAAAAATGTTTAAAAAAGCTTCAGAGGGTCTAACCAAAATGAAAGCTAAACTAAACATTAGCAGCTAACCTTCAGAAAAATCCAGTCCCAAGATGCAACAGGGGTCCCTAAATGAATGCTATGGCTCAACTAACAGGCTAACAATACCCAAAGACGTTAAACTATACCACTCCAGCTCCAAACAAATGGATTCATATATTCACGTCAAGTCAACGTATCCAACAGTTTGTGATGAATGAAGAGACACAATCTACCTGAAAAGTCCTCGTTCTTTTGCAAACATGTTTTCTGGTCTGCATTCAAAACATATCCACTTCCACATTTGCAGATATACGAGTCACCAGTGCTGATACACATGTGCTGGCAGTCATGTCCCAAAGAACAGGCATCTGAACCTGAAGACAAAACTGCAACAGGACACATGAAGTCCTTCAGTTTAAAAAAGAAGATTTATCTGCACACTATATTCAAGATATATGAAGACTTCACGTTTGGCAAAACAGGGAAAGGAACTGATCAAAAGACAGAAAAACAAATCATGTATGAAATATACAGTAGGTCTTACGTGAACAAGTTTTCTGGTCTGTGTTTAACACATATCCCTGCTGACATCTGCAGATGTACGAGTCATCAGTGCTCACACAAACATGTTGGCAGTCATGTCCCTGGTTACATGAATCTAAACCTGTAAAGAGACACTTTCACATCTAATAAACTAAGTTTATGTAAAAATTACAAGTTCAAAATGTAAAATTGTTGGTTATTTTATTGCATCTGGCCATATAAGCAATTAATTTAAAACCTTAAAATCACTTTTTGATCTTGTAGTCCTATCTCTTTTTAATAGTTAGCATGTCTGTGTATGCTCTTCTGGATATCCGTGTTTTTATTAGTTTGTTGCCGTGTTTGTTTCCACTTAAGTCATTTTGTATCACTGGGTAGTGTTTTGTTTCATTTTGTGGACATTGTGTCTCTGTCTGAAGGTGTTTTTCAACACTTTGTGGTCTCCCTTCCTCTCCGATCTGTAATGCATCCATTTTTGCAATTTTGCATTCCTATGTAGTGATTTTTAGGAATTTCAAAGTGTTATTTAATCTTTTGGTTGTTGCATTGCTTTTCTTTGTTTTCCTTTTGCATCAGTGAAGTACCTTCATTTCCTCCATCAGCTGACGTAAAAGCCACTGCTGCAGCTCAAACTCCTCACAGTGTTGATGAGCGATGAACTCTTGGTAGCCCTCTGAGGAGGTTCATCACAGTCTCTGTAGACCTCTGGTATAGGATAACCATTATAAAGGCTTTTTTTTTAACCCTTTAAGTGCCCAATATTGCATTTTGATTTTTAGTCTCTCTGCTCGGGCTGTGATTATGTGGTCCTCATTTCATTTGTGCTGAAAATTGTCAGCTCTGATCTATTTATGGCAACTCAAAACATTAGTGACAAGAGCTGGTATGCAGTGTGTCCACATCTCAAAATGTCAAACTAACTGTTTTTCAAAGGGAGTATAAAGTTCTTACATTAACATTAATTATTAGAGTTCCTATCTCCAACAAGGCTTGACCCATCTAGTCCCAAATTAATACTTACATAATGTTCAGTCACAGTATATCTTTTTAACATTTCCCTGCACTATGTGTCTGATTGTAAATCATTCAAAAACACAGTTGGATTTGTAACAGAGACATTAAGAAAAGATAAAGATTCTTACGTTTGCACGTTTTCTTGTCCGTGTTGAGGACGTATCCTGCACGACACATGCAGTCGTATGAGTTTTCATTGTTGACACAAATGTGCTGGCAGCTGTGTCCCTGAGCACATGCATCCAAACCTGCAAAGAAACACATCACTGTCTGATTGGCTTAAGAGAAAATCAGTCATCTACCGACTACTGACTGTGTAAGCAAGGTGTTAGTACTGATTTATTGTAAAATAACAAGTTTACAGAGCCACCCACATGCAGATTAGTTAGCTTGATTAGCGAGCTGTGCTTGAACTACAGTTGTGTTAAACTGAATTGATTTGTTGTTTTCAATCCTTTGTCATGAAGCAGAGAGACAAAGTCATCTGTCACATTCAAATCTAACAAGGGATTTTGAGTTTGAATTTCTCAAACAATTGTGCATCACTACTTTCCAACGGACTATTTCATGCAGTTCAGATCATGCAAACACAATATCTGATCAATGAGAACACGGTCATGCATGTGCTGCATGTTGCTGTTGTTGTGGCTGTAACGGTTGTAAAGGGACAGATGTTGGCGTCATTAAAACACAGAGGTTGTTTGAGACACTTACATAAATAGCATGAGCAACCATGATGAAACTGAAATTTAAAACAGACAATATAAAGTGACAACTTTGGATCTATTTGATCTTGGTAATAGTTATCTAAAAGTGTTTGACTGTCAAATGGTCAAAGTGAGAACTTTTTTGGTTTTAAGATATTTTGGGCCGTTTTGCCTTATTGACTAGGACGGCTGGAGAGAGACAGGAAATGTAAGGAGGAGAGAGTGGGGGGGACGACATGCAGCAAAGGGCTGAGGTCAGATTCTGAACCCACCGCTGCTGAGACAAGGACGATAGCCTCTACACATGGGACACGCAACAAAGCTGCTAGGCTATCTGGCACCCCCAGAGTGTGAACTGAAGTTAAGTTAAATACATCTTTTTGACCTCGTGATTCGTTTTTTTTTTTTTAGATCTCTGCCACTGCTTTTGTAAACACAATTGATGTAGGTCCTTATAGTGAAACTTTTGAATTACGTCTGACTTGCATTTCACATTCGCCCTTCAGAACACAGCTGCATGAAAGCAAACAGATGTATTTCAAAGAAGAAAAAAAAGTATGCTATCTCTATATTAATGAGCATCTTTCTTATATCACTCATGATTGGGCAGAGCTGTGCAGATTTTAAGGTTTTACGTTTATAAATGATCATTATGTAGGAATAATATTTGAATCAAAGAGCTCACTAAAATACATTTTATTTAAATTTAGAGCAAGTCTAGTTTTTTGCCGTGCGGGCTGAGTGGACATTATTGTCACAGAGCGCTTAAGCCCAAATTGTGTAAACTAAGCTGAGGATGCAGCATGAGGTCACAAGCTGCAGCGAGAGAGAGCAGCAAGCAGTGTGCTCACTGTGAAAAGTAAAGGCAGCACCGTGTCAGGCTTCAACCATTTTAAAATGATCAAGTCTTAGATCAGCAGCGATCAGCGACTTGTCTTCTTCTTTCATTTGCCCTTTTTTTTTTTTTTTACATGGCTTATTGTTGATTGCACACTTTTTTGTCACGACCTGCAAGTCAACACCTTCATGTTGGAAATGTCAACACAACAAGAGGCAGTATAGCGTTTGTTATTTTTGCCCTTGTGTGTAAATCCAAAAGAAGAGGACCGGTTACTTTAAAGTGGCGATTCCCTCTATCGGTGCTGCCAAAACCCTCACAGGTGCAATCTAGAGTACGGATCTGACATACCGTTGTTTCCTTTATCTGGCCTTTCATTAGGCTTATTTATTCCATCACGGTCTTTTCTGCGGTCTAGGCCGTGACCATAATCACCATTTCTGCCATCTAATGGAACAGCCGCACTCCCGTTATCCTCATCCTTACCGCACAAGGTTTCCCTAAACTTGGAGGTGAGCTTCTCAATGACCCCATAGGTCTCCACATAGAAGACATGGTCGTCATGTGGTTGGCTGGCCATGAGGCGGAGGGACACCATATCCGCTCTGTCCACCCCGACCGCGTAGATCTCGATCCCAGACGTCCGAGCTGCTGCCGACACTTCCTCCACTTTGTCCTGGGGCCGCCCGTCCGTCACTATGATGGCCACTTTGGTGATGGTCATGGCTCCGGCTCGCGCCCCTGCCTCGGCGGTGAAAGCTTTCTCCATGGCAGTTTTGATGGCCATGCCCGTCATGGTGCCTGAAGCAAGGGGCTCCACACGGGCCAGCGCCTGCTTCAGGGCCGACTTGTCAAAATAAGTCTTCAGTAGAAATTCAATCTTCACCGTGCTGGCGTAGTTGACCAGGCCGACTCGTGTGGCGTCCGAGCCGATCTCCAGGCTGTCCACCATGTCTACCAGGAACTCTTTGGCCTTCTCAAACTCGGCGGGGCGGACACTGCGGGAGCTGTCGATGATGAACACCAAGTCTATGGGCCGGTTTCTGCAGTTGGACCTTGTTGCTGTTAACACACGAGAGGCTTAGAATGCACACCAATAAACCAGGATACTTTAAAAAACAGTCTAACTTCATATCCTGGTTTCAGAAATCTGTACAAGCCCTTATCTTGGATTTGAAAAACCTGGATATGCCGCGTTCTAACTTGTGCCCAAAAATGGAAACAAACCCCAACATCAATAATCAACCTTATCTGAAGACATCTTTCAAACCACTATGACCACTTTAAATTAAATATGTTTAGCCTAATATGACAATAAATGTGATATATAAATAAAATATGTTTTGGGGCTTGTATGGCTTTTATTAAAAAACCCTCCTTTTTGATTTGGGGAGAAAAGCTGGTCCACAACCAACAACAGTCTTTCTGCAGTATAATGAGAACATGTTGGTTATGGCTTAATTAAAATACCTGCGCTGGCTCTGATGGATGCAGCGGGGCCTCTCGAGTCTTGAGCAGACTCCCATGATGCACTGGGTGCAGCTCTGTGTTGCAGTGGCCGGCTTCTCTTAGGTGTCTGCTGCTGGGATGGCTGAAGAAACCTGGAGTTAGTGCCCCCAGCTTTGCCAAGAGAGAGGGGAAAAGGCAGAGGGGAGGGCATCAGAGAAGTGGTGGCTTTTGTTTGATTCAAATCAAAGTTAATTCATTTCTGTCTTGCTTTTCATTCTGTATGATTTCTCACCTTTTATTCCCAATAAGAACAGAATGAATGGCTAGAAATCACATTTCTTCTTGATTTGTACATTATGAAATAAATGTTTCTAAACATTGCAATGAATGATTCTTTGCATTATCTTATATCCAAAATTATTATGTCATATACATTACAGTGTACGGATTCATTTTTATTGTGTCTTGCAAAAACAACATGGGCACATTTCCATAAGGAACCAAGTATTCATTTGGAAATTAATAATTAAAGTAATGCATTTTACCTCTTGATCTGTGTAGTTATAATTCATGATGTTAATGGTTGATGCAGATTTTGGAAACACGTAAAGAAATGCAGAAAATTATGTTTAACCATCTTCTTTTTATTTATGAAATGCTCTATGTCTTGTAGAATTTTTTTTTATGAATGGTACAGTTTCATGCCATGGTGTTATAAATTGCAATAGATCTTGGTTTAAAAATAATGGTAATAATATACTTGTGTAATTGTTGAGTACAGACTGCTCTGACTTCATGTGATTAGTTAGCACTGATAGATCATCACTTTATTCACTATTACTTCATTCATTAATTGATGAGCATCAATTTATCTGGATTTCAGAAAAACACAACAACATAATTTAAACAAATAAACAAGTTAAATGTTGTAACTTTATTCATTCATTAATGTTAATTAGAGACATGTTTGCATCGACAACGTTTTAAGAAAAATGAAATAGTCATATTTCCATGAGACAGGTGCTATTCTGCTGTCATAGAGTATGGGGAAAAACATGTCTGAAATATAATTGATGTAAAGGGAATCCTAATTTGTCAATTGAAAATGACTGCCAAAATAATTGTTGATGTCTTGATTAATGATCCGTCAAGTTATTAGTTAAAGTCACGCAGAGCTGTGTGGAGAAACACGACTTCACCAAACATCCTGCATTAAATCATCATTCCTTAAGTAACAGTAAATAATAATAAACAGTTTACAAACTTATAGGACATCCACCAACAAACCTCCAGGTACAGCTCTGCGTCTCTCCTGCGTCAGGTAGCTGCGGTCTCCTGGCGCTGCTTGATCAGCCAGCTGAAGCTCTTGAAAGGTTTCTGCGCTGGGTTCTTCGTCAGAGGTTTGTTCGAGAGATTTGACGTCTCGCAAGCGTTGATGGACCCTCGGAGGGACCTGCGGGGACACTCGTGGGATAAAAGGACTGATGGTGTGGATCTGCCGGTCGCTCTGTGACAGAGTCCCCGATGACAGGAGGCTCAAACAACACAACAGTTCCCACAGTGCTGGAGTCATGTTGGCGTCCTGTCCTACGGTCCACTTCCACAGAGAAGTGACGCTTTTATACGAACCACGTCCATGTTCGACAAGGCGTGGGGAGCACGACGAGACCCAATCCAAAGTCATCTGAAAGAGGTGAGGAGAGGTGGGTATGGAGTCATTAGAGCGCCAAAATAAATAAAGGGCCAACAAGTCAGTATATATAAAAAAAAAAAAAAAAAAATGAATTAAACAAAATGATATAGCCTATGTAAGATGTAGAAAGAGAATTACAAGTATGCTTACACAAGTTGAAAAGGAAAATAAATTTAGAAAACAATTAAAATAAATAAATAAGCACTTAAAGACAAAAAACAAAAAGTGGAAAAAAATAAACATTTTCATTTAATTTGTTGAATATGTCCCGACATTTAAATAATTTCCAGCAAATTAGTTATTTTCTCGTTTTATTTTACTAGTATTTTATTGGTATTATTATTATTATTATTATTTATTTCCTTGAAATGTCAATAAAAGCCTGTGCAGGAAGATCACACAGATGCAGTTGAAAAATAAATAAAGCTTGAGAAACCAGCAAATAAGAAAAAAAATAAAAAATTAAGGAAAAATGAAGTGATACAGATAAATAAATGACAATGTATAAAATACCAAAATGAACAACATTAATAAGAAAGGTTTCCAGAAAAGGAAATTACATCCTCAAATTCGGCAGAAATACACGCAGAATAATTATTTTAACAAAATATTAAATGTTCAAAAAAGCTTCATATTGTTTACATTTTTATTCTTCTATTACAAATCCTCTTCCTATTTCCACAATAACTGCCTTCTTTTGCAACTGTATTCTGCTTTTTCTATTTCTTTGATCTCCTATAACATACTGGTTTTTATAATATATGATATTTGATACAAACTCTACCTCGACCAGATATATAATTACATTTTGATCGGTGATATTGGGCTAGTCAATCTGATATTGCTTTTGAGTGTATCACACTGTCTTCATCACTTTCATAATCCTTTTCTGTAACTTAATGTCAGTAAATACTAATACTAGCCTACCTGTTTAAGAGGTTATAAACTTATTTGCAAAAATGTAATAAAAACTTTTGTTATTATAAATTTAGTGAACGGTGCAAACTTTATTGTGACCCAAACCAGAAGCGTTTTAAAGGCACATGATCTACACGTAGCACACTGCCCCCTTGTGGATCGAACTGCAAACTGTCCCACAGTGTTTCTCTTCTTCTAAATCTTATAGACTGGATGTAAATTCTGCCATCAGGGGGCTTTCAATCAAAACAAAAACAAAAGATGATGTTGAGGCTGGCGGGGAATCATGAGAGCGATTCTCTCTTTTAATCCACCTCAACACCCCCAATGGAAAAAAACTCAAAACGGGCAAAACAGACCTGAGGATGAGACTATGTTTACAGACGAGCTGATGTATGTATAAGTTTAATTTACATTACGCTTTTATCACAGCAGCACATAAAGCAACAGTACGGCAGCTTTAAGTAGCAGGTCCCACTTCTGTATGAATGAATGAATGAATTTTAATTTATTATTGTGTCATGCATGCATTAGCATGCCCAGCCCACAAGGGCTTACAAGACACCAATATAAACACACAAACAGACCAAAAACCAAAAGTAGATGCCAAACAATACTAACAATATAAACCATCCTGGCATTTCCTCCAGGCTTTAGTGACAAAAGAGGCCAACTTATAAACATTGAAAGTAAACAAACATTCCATCCTGACATCGTCATTACTCCAAAACACTTGAGGGTCTCAAGCAAACATTTCATCAAAAAGAGGTACTCTCAGTTCCTCATAAAAGGGACACTACAAAAGAAAATGAGATTCACTCTCCACTTCTCCTAAATCACAAAGTTCACAAATTCTCTGTTCCTCTGGGATATTTTTAAATCTGCCAACTTCAAGTGCCGAGGGAAGGATTCCTGTCCTTAATTGAGCAACCAAAGATCTTTGATTTCTTGCTAAGTTTGCTTTAACATATAATTCGGTATCATAATTATACTTTATTTGGACTTATGTTCGTAATTTAGGTTTTAACAATATTTCATTTAACCATTTTTCATTGAATACAACAAGTAACTTTTTTCTATTCTTATTTACGCTGCATGATAAATTATTTCTATAGATAAACTGTAAATCTGCTTCTTCAAAGACAGCATGAAGCTCTGCAGCCCATGGAGAGTTCTGAACTTTACTCCAGAGAAAAACTTTCTTGTTGATCCTGTCATCAGACATAATAATAAAATGATTCCACAGTCTAATCATGTCGCATTTCCTCCTTATTATACCAGGAATCCAACCCATGTCACCCTGAGCAGCCAAAGAGGGAACAAATCTATGAATGCCCAGAAAACAACAAATAGCTCTGTTTTGTACTGCATCTGAAATTCTTCTTTCTTTAAATCCCCATACCCCAGCAGCATAATTCAAAATGGGAGAAACACATGCATCATACAGTTGAGAGTAAGTAGAATAACCAAGGTCTTTACATATTTTTAATTTGTTAACAACAGCCCCCAAAGCTCTGCTAGCTGAACTAGCAAGGAGTTCAATTCCATTTTCATAATTCATATATTCATCAAGTGGAAATCCCAAATATTTATACACAGATACAATTTCTAATGGCATATCCCAAAAAGTAAAGCTTTTTTCACTTGTTGGGACAGCCTTTTTTTCTAAAATGAATTATCTGTGTTTTACTCTGATTCATTGAGAGCCTCCATCTGCAACACCAGGTCTTAACTAAATTTAACATAGTTTGTAAATCATCCTCCGATTCAGCAAGCAGAGCAATATCGTCCGCGTACAACAAAGTACCCACAGTTAAATCATTCAAATGTATACCTAAATTAGCATTCTTGATTTCAAGTGCCAGGTCATTTATATATAGAGAAAACAAACTAGGGGACAGGACATCATCCTGTTTAACACCGCTTGATAGAATTTACCATCCACACCTGCTTTTAAGTTTTAAGGCAAGCAGATCTCTATTTACCCAATCAAAAGCCTTTTGGAAATCCACAAAACATACGAAAGTCGATTTATTTTCTGCAATTCTTGTCCTGACAATTGTTGAAATTGTGTGAATATGATCAATGCAGGATCGATTCCTTCTGAACCCATTCTGTTCATCAACTAAATATTCCTCTGTTTCCAGATACTGGGTCAGCCTAGCATTCAAAATACTACTATACAATTTATACACTGTGCTAAGAAGGCTGATTCCTCTTTAATTGAGTGGTATCCTAGGGTCATTCTTAGATGACTTTGGGATAGGTTTGATAATAGATTTATACCACGCGTAAGGAACGATACTGTGTTTAAAACAAAACCTAAACAAACAGAAAAGCATGTTTAAAAGAGGAGGTGATTTTAATACTTCATTTGGGATCTCTTCCACACCTACTGCTTTTTTCAGCTTAGACTTATTTATAGCAGTTTTCACTTCTTCCATAATTCAAAAATAAATTTGGTGAATAGTTTTCTCCGCCCATATTTCTCTCTAAATCGTCCTTTGGTTTACATGCATCTTCAAGATAAGCATCTTCAACAATTGGTGGAATATTACTTCCTGAAAATAAATCAGCAAAATCTGTCTTCCACTTTTTAATTACAAACTCTTTCCTGCATTCCAGGACATCATTGCTTAGGACAACCTCCATAGGTATATTCTGTATTCTCCTTGGGCCTAATTTATTAATTTCCCTCCAGAATTGTTGTGGATTACTGGTTTGTAAATAGTCTAATCTCAAGAACTGCCCTCTACTAAAGTTCCTTTTGTAATTTTCTCTCAGTTGTTGTTTCCTCACTGGATCATTACATCGGAGAAAGTTCTTTTCAGCTATTTTTCGTTCATTCCACAGTTTTTGGAGCTGAGAATTCCAGTAAGGTTTAGAACACCTTGCTACCTGCTGAAATTTGTATTTATTTAAATTTTTGGGTTGACATGTTTCCATTTCTAAAATCATCATATCACAGAACTCATTATACCAGCCATCAACATTATGTTGTGTACTTTGACAGGCTTCAAGTTGTTTTATCAACTCTAATCATGCAAATCGACCACCACTGTGGTGCACCACTGTATGTAGCAGTCTTTGACATATAGGCCTAATATCCTGGTTCAGTGAATTGTTAATTGATTTTGATATTTCAGTGTAAAAGTTATACATATTGTAGCCTATCTTTAAAGGGGCACTGTGGAGTTTTGGTAAAGAAATGTGAAAGTTGGAGAAATGTACAGATTCTGTGGTATATGTTCATAACTCAATACACAAACTGTCCACAGAGGAAAATGTGTTCCCTGGAACACTGTTTGAAAAAAAAAGCTACGAGAGAAGTTGTGGAGGGGGGTCAGCAACAGTGAACCCGTAACTCTCCTGGTAGCTTTTTAGCTCCAAACAGTGTTCACAGGACCCAGTTTTTTTCTTTGAGTAAAGTTTGTGTATTCAGTTCAGAAAATATAACAGAATTGCTTCACTTCTCCAGCTTTCAAATTTCACCACCAAATCTACATAGTGCACCTTTAAATAAAAATTTTGTTGGAGAAGAAACAGATAGAGGGTTATATTCAACCGTGTCTGAATCTGTTTTGAAAAATTCAAATCAACATGTTATTCATAAAATATTTGTCTTGTATCTGCGACTGTTTTGCATCAAAAAACAGGTTTTGGGGATGCAAATGATTTATCTGACCTCTCACAAGAGGAAGTTGCATGAGAGCAGTAATCCAGGTGTCTCTACATATTGCAGAGAGAGGAACACAGGAATGCACAGATGCACATTACTCCTGTGTGTATCCACCATGTCCTTGCACTTGTTTTTCATAACTTTGTGTGTGTCTTTCACTCATCCAGGCGGGAGAGATGTTCTGCATGCCTACTCTCCTGGGGATATCATCATCGGAGGACTTTTCCCTTTTCACACACAAACTGATAGAAACACAACACATGGACCGTCCTCCTGCAGCGAG